TATATCACTAAATTAAAAATGGAAAATGAAAAATTGCAAAGAGTAGAATTTAAAAAACATCAATTTTACGGTAATTTAATAGCTCGAAGAATATGCTTTGAAAAATAGTTTCAAAAAGAGATCGTGACTTCAAATTTGTTAGATTGTATTCTACAATTTTAATATGATATAAACAGCAAGATATTTGTCTAGTTAGATTCATTACTTACACCTAAATTTGCGAAAAAAATTAATTAGATTATGTAAAACCGAAATATTATACGGTTCTTAAAAAACAAATTTAAATTTCAAAACAGCCCTTATATCACGTTTTTGCCAAGACATTTGAATTACGTTCTTCCCGAATTATTAATGGCTATACCGAATTTAATCCGGCAAATTTACGACATTAAAAAACGCTATAAAAAAAAAAGAAACGAATTCATAACTGGCAAATCGACGCTTTCTCCCGACATTTATTACTCGTTAAAGTGCAAGCAATTATAGAAAAATACATTTACGATTGTTTAACTTTAACGTCTGTAATACACTCTATATTTTCAATAAAACCAACACGATACAATATTCTCTCGTACCAAATCGCTAAAGTTAAGCTAATAGACACTCCAATACTGCAGCTATTTGCTCGATATTATTAAAATTTCATTCAATAGCCTTCCTTACTCCCTGCTCTTTTAAAAGTCGCTTAAAAATTTATAATCTTATAAAGTAGGTAACCGTAGGATAACGTTATGTAAACCGGTGCACTTAAAAGAAAACTATAACGCTTCTTACATCATTTTAAATTATCAGAATCTTAAAACAAGAGCCAATACATCCGCCTGAGAGAGTCCATTGCCTGGCTAATAGAGTCAAAATCTAATTAATAGTCAAATCTGAGAGAGTCAACCAACGACCTAAGAGAGTCCATTAACGACCTAGAAGAGTCAATTGCCTGCCTAATAGAGTCGATTATCTATTCAATAGTCAAATCTGAGAGAGTCAAAGTATCAACTAACGACCTAAGAGAGTCCCTTAACGACCTAGAAGAGTCAATTGTATGCTTAATAAAGTTGATTATCTATCAAAAAGAGCCAGTTTTTTCCACTTTAACTAATTAAGCAACCGCAGTAAATGGGCAAAAGATAAACTCGGCAAATTATCGACTGGTAAAATAGACTATAGGAAGGAATATGCCCGAAGGAAATCGGATCGTCAAACAAAGAAATCGATCTTTATTCGTCGAAATAGCTCCGAAGCGGAAAAGTCAACGGCGGACACAAAAAAAAAAAAGGAAATTCGATCTACCGGCAAACAAATGTCCGTTAGTAATGAAGCCCCGTGGAAAAACTATCATGGATCGCTTCGGAAATCGCGAATGATGGATATTGCTCGGTCGGTCCCTCCTTCGACCTCGTTTTTCCCGATGCGGAAGCCCGACAATACAGTACAGGTGGGAAAAAAATGCTTCGGATGATGGATGGAGCAGCCTCTATTAGATGTCTACTAAAATGGGAATGAAATATGCATGCAGGAGAGTATTACTGAGAGCTTATATTTCTTCTATGTTAGACGGGCGTAAAAAAAAGGAAGGCGATTTTTGTGGATTAGGCTCTCGAAAGTTTGTAATTCGCGGAGGAAATTTTTTTGTCTTTGATGCAATTTATGTTCTTAATTTATCCTGGACTTTACATTAGGTACTAGTTGAACTGAGTTTTAAAGAAAAGGATTATTATATTTATAAGTAAAACTTTTATTAGTAATAATGAAGCAGGAAAATTCGATTGAATACTTTATTTAATTTATTTTACAATATCCTACCGGCTACTATTTCGTGCAACAAATATTTTGTCTACATTAACTTCATTTCAACAATTTGATCAATAATTTAATTTTATTATTAACTGTTAGTTGAAATTAATGCATAGCATGATGGAATGTTTTTAGATCAAAGCGAGCCTCGCCGAATATGGTAATTAAAACACAATTTAACGATGTAACCAAATGTAAAATTTTCCGTTGAATTTAATAAATTTCGCTTCGAACGAGATTTTTCGCAGTTAAATGTGAATTATGAGATTTCGCGTTCATTAATGTCGGGTATAACATAACCAACATGTCACTGTAGGTTCTATTCTGACTAAGCAATGCAACAATTCTCTCTGTGAGATGTGCCATGCACAGGAGTCTCGTAATTAAGCTCGATTGTGCTAACAATCAGACTCCCGACGACCGGAAATAAACTTTCCGGTTACCTTATATACGGGGATAGTCAGATTCGTTCTTAAAAAAAATTGTTCATACATTTTACTCGACGGGATATTTGTACTAATATTTAAAAGCGAATGATAAAAGTAGCACCTTTATGTAGGTATAAAGATTTTATCGAACTAAATTTGAGTGGAATTCCCTTCTACTTTAAACACGCTGCAGTAAAAATGCTACTAAATCTAGTAGAATATTTAATTTGGAATATCAAAAATGGACTACGCTACAATAAAAAATGTCGAATGAGTAAATCTTGCAAATACCGGCGACCGATAAAGAAACATTCTGAATGTCTAGATCTAAATCTCATCGACACACCCTTCCTGCGGAGGTCCTGAAGTACATTGGAAAAAGGACTCGGAGCGGAAACATCCTGCAGAGATATATGGCGAAGATGGGCCAGTTACAGAAATGACAAACTGTATATAAGCGGTGATATCGGATGAGATTTTTTTAAAAATAGGTCTCCTGGCGAGACTGAAAAAATCCTTTGGGATTTTAAGGACTACACGAATAGACGCCGAAAAATGAAGACAGAAATTTCGTAATGAAAAGTTCATATAGCTGTATTTGGGGTAAGATTTCGGAAGAGAAGATGTTTTTTTTTTGTACACAACAATCCTATATATTCGTTGCGAAAACGATTCATCTTCTCGGACCGTATCGATGAAGCTTTTTCCGAACAGGCTTTTGTTCTATGGCGGATCCATTTGTTGTGCTTCGGGTCATGACAAAAGTTTCATAATTCACTTATAAGAAGTCTCCCGGCGCCATTATCGGACAAGCGTTTTCACCTTTCTCATGTTTTTCTGCGTGTAACAATTGGAAATTTATTGGGAAAACCAAAACCTGGCTCCATTACAGGATAGAAAAGGGCGCCTTGATTTTCGCAAGTTGCGTGATCTTTAGCGATGCATTTTTAAAGGGTCAGGAAAGAGTAATAGTAGATACTTATCACTGATATATGAATAATTAAAATAGTAATAACACAACATAATTTCGATTCGAAACCGAGAAAGGGCAATAAAAGTTCCTAGCGAAGTTTAATTTAATCTTTGAAAGAACTATCCCTAAACTTTGGAACACATGAGTCTACTATAAAATTCAAAACATCCGTTTCTGGAGCATAACTGATGATATCCATCCATCTCTTTTATAGAGCCATATATACACTCGACAAAAAAAATTTAATAAATGTTTATGGGCTCTTAAGACGGAAAATCATACACTTCCTCCGTCTCAATCTCCAAAAAATTTGCATATACAGTTACTAATATTTCAAACGCTTATAATACATCTAATATAACAAGTCGTGACGTCACTCCTAAATTAATCCGAACGAACTATACTATACAATTAGAGTTTTATCACGAAGCGCTGTAATGGAGACAATCCGGTAAATTAAGTGCTGGGTGTTATCGCGCCCCTTCCTCTAATTCTTCCCGTTTGATTCCTTTCCATTTTACGACTGTCGACCGGTTTTTGGAAATGACGGAAGGGCCTTTTCTTTCTCGCGAATTTTACTGTTCCGTTCTTTTATCGCGTCCACAATGGCGATGGAAATCCCTCTATTAACGGTTTTTGTCCGGTGGAACGGCAATTTATTATATTTGTCCACTCGGATAATTTAGTTACTCGAGTTAATAGATGTGTGGGAGAAAATTGTTCTGATGGTGGAAAAAGTTGGCATTTTTTTTTATTAGTTAATCGATAGATAGGAACGTAGTGATTGGATAAAAATAGGGCAATAAATTGATATTAGGTCGACAAATTGGGCGCAAGTTTTTATTTCTTACTTCATAAAATCCTATTTGATTCCACGAATGATTGCCTGCATTTTATTAGAGTTTTAAATTGTAGGTAAGTACCCTATAACTTCGATTGGGCAATAAAATAATACTTATTGTCTATACAAGTTTCGCGAAAAACGTATTTTTGTTCTAATTAAAATGGATAACAAACTTTAATTGTATCCGAAAAAGCAACAAAACATAAATCTTTGAAAGGTAAACAAAACCCTTTTCTCCGAGCCACGTGAATAAAATTATCCCCGGTTTGAGTTTATTATCTAAAATTCGCCGCTTTTCAAAAAAAATATTAAAATCGATGGGTATAAAGCGGAACCGCCTGAAGGGTGAGGCACAAAGGGATATTCCCCGAGAATTCCCCGACGTTTTGTTCGGAAAGAAAGAAAAGTTTCCTTTTTTGTAGGGGGGCGCGATAGCGGCAAAGTCCGAGATTAATTAGAAATGGTAAAAACGAGTAAATTAGAAGAGAAAAAGAAACGAGGTTAAAAAGATGATTAGTAATTTTAACGACTGACAATTAAGTTAATGTCTTTAGGTAACAATTAAAAATCTCTGCAGGAATAACACAAAAAAAAATCGTCCATAAAATGATTGAGAAACTTCTCAGCTTTAAAATTTCTTCCACCGACTTTCCCATTCACAAACACCTCAAAATATAATTCCATTTCGAATCACAAACCGCTCCGATGGTATTTTATCCGAGTTACCGGCCCGTTTCGAACGATCAATATTTTATTTTCATTTTTATAGACGTCCAAAGTAAAAGTTTATTTCATTTCGCCATATCGCAGCCTTCTCGGTCGGTTAAATACAAAAGACGGCTTCTTCGACTTCTAAAACTTTCCGTTGGATATATTGTTGCGAGATAAAAAGTAAAAAATCGGCGAACGCTCCGAGAATACACCTAGATGATAGTTAATTCAAATTCGCTTTAAACGGAAAAAAATGTTGATAGCGAAAAGAAAGAAAACAGCGGGCGAAGGACGACTGGGAAAATGGATTGAGCTGTCGTTAAGTAGGGTGATTTGTTTTGTTGTGAATTCCCTTTCGTGTATTTACGAAACGAATAGGCAAAACGTCCGATCGAGAAATGGATCGCCGGATTTTTCGAGAAATCTAACAATTAAACGCGACGTTTTTTTATTCATCCCGTTATATACACACTAGAGAGATAAAATTGGGGAGTTTATTTTCCACTGATTTCGCCGGAAAACCACTTTAAAGGATCCCACAGACCAACGCGAAACTTCGTAGCGATTCCGCAGCGGAACTTTCGCGGCGGAAATTCCGCCAGCGTTGCGAAACTGCCACTGCTGCGAAATTTTCCGATTGTTAGTTAGCGATTTTTAGTGACAAATTGGAGCGTGTGTGTAATTCATTATATAATTTGCAATTCATACAATTATTTATTCAATGAGTTTGTCTGAAGAAGAAGTTTTATTGCTACTTGGTTTAGCTGAAGAGGAAGAAATTAGATAAAAATAACTACGTTATTACGAGTATGTTGATTAGCAACATATAGGCAAGCATAATAATAGTAGGATATTTATTTGAATAATTTTTAATAGGTCTTTATGACTTAAATCGTAAATAATTGGATACTTTTTCACAAACTCGATTAATTGTTCGACAACTGCCATTTTCATTGGTACCAAATTCCGCAGCGTCAGCGGAAAAAACAGCGCAAGCAGCGTTTCGAAAAATAAAACGCCGCGTTTTCGCTACCATCGCGAAACCACCGCCGCGAATCCGCCGCGGAATCGCCGCCGCAGCGGCAGCGGAAAAAACAGCGCAAGCAGCGTTTCGTAAATAGAACGCCGCGTTTTCGCTACTATCGCGAAACCACCGCCGCGAATCCGCCGCGGAATCGCCGCCGCAGCGGCAGCGGAAAAAACACTGCAAGCAGCGTTTCGAAAAATACAACGCCGCGTTTTCGCTACCATCGCGAAACTACCGCCGCGATTCCGCCGCGGAATCGCCAGCGAAAAACATCGCCTTTGGTCCGCGGGATCCTCCAAATCCAATCAAACCCGTAAATTTACACGAACAACAATCGATCTATCATTTCCAGATGGTCCCAAGGCCTGTTATTCCACCAAGGCGCCGTCGATTGCGCCAGAGCCGCCCTCCTCCTCCCGCTCGCCGTCTCCATCCTCCACTGCCAACCGGTCCAGAAATGCTCCCTCGTAGAAACCGCCTTCCTCCTTCTGGTGACCGTCGCGACGGTCAACATGCTCACCACCGTGCTCAACGACTCCCCCATATTCCCCGACGACGACGACGACGCCGCCGCGACGCCCATCTCCGACGCTCCGCTGCTGATGGACTCGCCCCAATGCGTGCTCTTCGGCACGTTCATGATCTGGTTCGCCTCCATCACCATCAATTTGGGACCGACGTTTCTGTCGGGGGCGCTGGCCGCCCAAGGCGAGGGCGGTCACAAGGCGCCCTCCTGTCCGCTGATCAACAGCCCGCTGCGCCACTACATACTGAACGTGCTGTGGATAGCGGTCAATTTGGTGTGCGTGTTTCTCACGTTGTTCCATTTGAAGAAGCTGCACAGGGACCTGACCAAGGCCAACGTGGAGGCGGTGCGCGTGGCCGGCTTGGTGACCACGCTGGTGAACGTGACCGGCGCGACCGGCGGTCGGATGGGTTCCGTCGAGGACGGGGTAAGTTCATTCGAGTTGTATTGATCATACATTATTTATGGTATTGCTTTATATTATTATTGGTCAATTGTAATATGAGCTCAATTAACTTTAGTACCACTCAAGCAAGTTGCAAAAATACTGTATTTGCTCCATTCAAGTTAGTATATTAGTCATTATATTCTAGCTGTATTATGTACTCTTTTAATGGTATAGTTAATGATAATGTTTTATGTTATTATCAGTTATTATCTACATGTTTCTAATCAGGTGTATTCATTAATTTTTGAAGTAAAAAAGGAAGCTTTACGAAAGTACTGTATTTGCTCGGCATTTTCAAGAAAAAAACTGGTTGATTTTTCCTCGATTTATGCCCGGCGAAATGAATTTTCGATTCAGTTAATACCAGTTGAAGACTGTAAAGAATCTATGTAGGAGAAACTTTCGGATAGTGCATTTTGTTTCATTAGAGAGTTTTCAGGAGAAATCGTCTACAACGCCAAATGGATTGTAATATTAGCGATAGAGAAGATAATTTGCATTGGCCTAGATCCAAAACAAAAGCTTCGCGAAATCTAGCACTCAAAAGTAAAACCGGGATAGAGAAAGATATTGCATAATTCCGTTCGCAGTAAAGCGATAGAAGTTGACAGTAGATACATTTGCAGTTTGCAGTGGAAGAATAATTCTTCATTTCTCTAGCGAATATATTCAGGAGAATGACATCAAAGTTAGATTTTAAAGGATCCAAATCTTCTATAGGACGTTCGATAAAAATTCAAATTTAAACCCCGGATAGGTATAATAAAAAGCTGTTTAAAGAGCTATTACAAATTGATGCAAAAAGTGACTTTGCAAGTGACACTTTGCAACTCAATATCATCTTCTTATCGAATCGAAATCAAGCGGAATTACCATCAATTCAATTTATTATCCATCAACTTCCCGGTAAACAATGGCAATTCGATAGCCAATTTCGAGCAGAACGAAAGCGGAATTAAACTTACGGCGAAACTTCGGGAAAAAATGGAAGTTTTTTAACTGCGTTCCGGGAAAGTTCTCGGGAGCATTTCGTATGCAACTAACGTGTAGACGTTCGCGAGTTTCAGAACTGCTAAAGATGTAATTCTATGGCGTAATATCTGCCGTGTACAAGGCCGGAAAGATTTAGGTTAACTTACACCTGGAAAGTTAAGTTTTCCGGTTCAAGTACGCGATTATCCGACGTAAAGCGACTGTATATGGAATCGTTCGGTATAAAAAATTGGGAAAATTGAATACATGTACTTGTAGGAAAATTGCAAAGAGCACGAGATGTGATAGTAGCTGGTGAAATCTGTTTTGTATCATTAAGAATATTAGAATTTATAAGGAGCAATTATAATGTCATTCTGACTTTTCTGGAACATAATAATTTCCAGTCCATTCATTAGATTGAATTCAGGACGACAATATAATAAAAATTGAAATAAGAAACGTCCGCACCTTTGCCAAATACGAATTGAATAGCGAGTTGCGAGTTCGAGGAAAAAAAAAATGAGAAAAATTTATAATCCGATTATATTCCGGAATTTTCCGAATCAAACTTTCCCGTTATTTGCATATTCCGATTTGTTTTTCCGGGATCGCTTTCTATTTCTTTCGGCGCGTTGTTATGTAAGAGAGGCGATTTATGTTCCCTCGATAAATCAACCGCGGAAAGCCAAGCGAAAAGGGAAAATATAATATCCTTTTTTCATAAAACATAAACGCGGTAAGTACACCTGGCTAAGTCGGAGGAAACTCGCGAATTTATTCCCGAAACGATTCATTTTCATTTGCGCGTTTGAGTGTTCTCTAAATAAATAATCGCAATGAAAATTGGATGGCGGAAAATGGAAAAAAAACCTAAGAAAACCCGGCAACAGCACAAAGCAATCAAACCCGAAAATTTTCAGCTTTTATAGCATTTTCCGACAAACCTAATACCACCCAGATAAATGCATCTAGCAGTCGAATTTCGTCTGGTGCATTTCACCGGCGCTTAATGGAAAATTCGCTCCAGTTTCCCAGTCATCAGGAGACTATTAGCGACGCAAAGAAAATTAGCTCTCCCGATGCCCCCCCAGAGGCGGCTAATAAACCCCGACCAACATCAAAAGTCGGAGGCGGGGGCGCGATAAGAGCTTTACCGCCACCCCCCTGCGGGCTTCGGATAGCGCCGGGAAAACTTTTGTCCAAAAAAAAATCGAATTATCTCTAGTTTGAGGGATATGTGACCGCTCCAAAACGGAGATAAAGCTAATTAAATAGCCTTTTTATGGTACCTAAATGTATATCACAATGAAAATTTTCGTTGGCTCTAAAAAAGTCTCGCCGTATGTAAGATTTCATGGATCCCACAGACCAAGGGGAAATTTTCCGCTGCCGCTGCGATTCCGCGGCGGAATCGCGGCGGTAGTTTCGCGATAGTAGCGAAAACGCAGCGTTCTATTTTCGAAACGCTGTGTTTTTTCCGCTGCCGCTGCGGAATTTTGTACCTATGAAAATGGCAGTTGTCGAAAAATTAATCGAGTTTGTGAAAAAGTATCCAATTATTTACGATTTAAGTCATGAAGACCTATTAAAAATTATTAAAATAAATATCCTACTATTATTATGCTTGCCTATATGTTGTTAATCAACATACTCGTAATAACGTAGTTATTTTTATCTCTATTTCTTCCTCTTCAGCTAAACCAAGTAGCAGTAAAACTTCTTCTTCAGACAAACTCATTGAATAAATAATTGTATGAATTGCAAATATATAATGAATTACACACACGCTCCAATTTGTCACTAAAAATCGCTAACTAACACTCGGAAAATTTCGCAGCGGTGGCAGTTTCGCAACGCTGGCGGAATTTCCGCCGCGAAAGTTCCGCTGCGAAATCGCAGCGGCAGCGAAATTTTCGCCTTGGTCTGCGGGATCCTTAATTAAAGACCGGAGCGATTTCTCAAAAACCTAACGACCCTCGTCGATTGCAGACGGCCGGCCGTGGCGGCGGCGGCGGGGGCGGCGGCGGCGGCGCCCTCGAGGAGCACCGCAGGATGCGCGACTATCTGAGGCGGATGGAACGGGACGGCGTCCAGCGAGTGAAAATGTTCGTGGTCATCACGGGGGCCTACGTGCTGTTTTGGGGCCCCCTTTTCTTCGTCACGCTGGTCAATCATCCGGTGGTCGGCAGCCCCTTGGGGCACGAGGTAAATGGACACCGAATTTCTTTTTTATTGTACATCGAAGGCGCCGATATTATAGCGAATAATGGAGCACTTATTACTGCGCGAAAATGTGCTGCTACACGAAAGTTAAGGGAGTTTACAAATATGGAGATTAATTTAAAAGTTGCAGGTTTTTTGATCGCCAAATTTAGTATTAATTGTAGAAGTAGGGACAAAAAAAATCGACTCTGAAATGAGAGAAAACATTTAATTTCGCATATTTGAAAATTTGGTGATCAAAAAGTCTGCAACTTTTAAAATAACCGCTAAATTTGCGAACTTCCTTAACCTTTGTGGAGCAGTTTAGATGAGTAGCTTTTAGATTAGTACGCGGAACTTTCCCTTTTGTAATAGATATTTATTTTCGTCGGAGGAATCTCGGAAATACACCTATACAATTACAATAGTTGCTTCATACTTATCTGTACAGGTGAAGCAATTAAACAACCCTTTTAAACAAGCCTCGACTTCAAAAGCTTTACTCCAAAGGATCCTAAACTATATTTAAATCACAAAAAAAAACCAATTATTTCAATACAAGCGCACAAGGACTCGTCTTCAAACAACCACCAAAAAGCAGCACTATTTAATCTACCCGAGAGTAAAGTAACCTTCTAGGCCTCGTCGGCTGACAAGCAAACGTTAACTTAAAACCATTATTTATCAGGATGTTTGGAGGTTGGAGGGACGCTCCTCTCTCTAACCTCGCGTCACGTCGTAAACATCGCAACTGTCCCGGGAGATATGCCGGAATTTGAAATTTAACGCCGGAGGGAAAACGCCAACGACCAATCTGATGGTCGTTTGTACAGGAAAAGGTAGCTGTTTAGATGGCTCTTGAACGGCCTGTCGTTTCGAATTTGCTTCGGATATCAGATTGTGATAACAATAAAACTTTATACGCGCGAAGAATTCGCTTGGTTTATGCCAAACGAGATGGAAACGAGTCTAAATGGATCACCATTTGTTGGTCAGAACTCAGCAAACAGCAATGAAGCAAAAGGTAGATGCAAAAGATAAGAGAATAAAGCAACAACAGGCTCCTCTTTCTACGCCTATACCTCGAAGCAATTCCTTCATTTTTTCGAACCTAAAACGACTTCTTGTTATAAAAACAGCGTATTATACGTTTCCAGATGGAAATGAATCTGAATGGATCACCATTTGTTAGTCTGAACTTAGCAATGAAGCAAAAAGTAGATGCAAAAGATAAGAGAATAAAGCAACAAAAGGCTCCTCTTTTTACGAATATACCTCGAAGCAATTCCTTCATTTTTCGAACCAAAACGGCTTCTTGTTATCTTGTTTCCATCCAGATGGAAACGAGTCTAAATGGATCACCATTTGTTAGTCCGAACTCAGCAATGAATCAAAAGTTAGATGCAAAAGATAAACAAATAAAGCAACAGCAGACTCCTCGAAACCAAAACCCTCTCTTTTAACGCCTACACCTCGAAGCAATTCCTTCATTTTTCTGGCCTCTTTCTAGCCTGTTATACGTTTTCCAGATCACCCTGCACATATCATACGTCCACGCGATCGTGAATCCCACGCTGTTCCTGGTCCTGCATAGGGGCCTCCGGCGCGCCGCCTTGGATTTGTGCTGCGGCTGGATGCCCGTCTGGTTGATATCGTCGGGGGGGGCGGGCGTGCCGCCGCCCCCCGATCCGCCGCGGGCCGCCGACATATCGCTGCTGAAACCGGCCGGTCCGCTGCCGGCGCCCGCCCACCCCGATAGCTCTATGGTAATTAAATATTATATGTAAGTGGTGTAACTGGCATGTATAAAACCGTTTTCGTCTTGCAGGATTTTTGTTTCTGTTGAGATCTCGATGTTATTGAATTAATTACGCTAGTTTCTAGGTGAATTATATCGGAATTATCCGGTGTATATTCTAAAGAGGTTTCAACATAGAGTTACTGTTTAGTAATCCATCGCTAGTAATGGCTTGTATGATGTTGGTTTGAGCAGAGAGAGCGAAAGTTTGGATATGAAGTAGCTTTAACTTTGATAAACCCACAGTTGCAATAAATTAGTTTAAAATATCATATTAGAACTCGATTCAAAAATCAGCCAGTGCAATTGTATGATTCTAAACGATATAATTCAACTGTAACATAACCAATTTTAGTGCTTGTTTGCTGCTAAAGTATCCACGAAACGACAAAAAAAAAGCAAAAGAAACTTGAAGCAGAATGAAGTAATAAAATGGATTGTATAAGATTGAATGTGTTGATTGCAGGGAGACTCCGATTTGAGCCCATGGACGCCGCCAATCGAATCCTACGAACCGTTGGAGTCCTTCGCCAGCGAGCCGAGTTTCGCCGCCTCCGAACGGGAGATGTTTCGCGGCGAAACCGCCGCCGTTCGATCGCGATTCTCCACACCGGAGCCGGACATCGTCGACTAGCATCCGGATTGGGACACCTCCACTAGGATATAACCTTCTACAAAAGCCACTTCTAAGACCTCTAGGATGTAGCCTTCTAGAGAAGGCACTTCTAAGACCTAGGATGTAGCCTTCTAGAGAAGACTTTAATCGGTTAAATCGAGAGATATCGCAGGGGACCAAGATCGGATGGATGGTCTGTTTGATGAGGAGTGCATTGTCCGGAAGGCGATTAGATCGAATGATTAGGAATTGAAGAACTGTGGTATAATGTATAGAGTTTATGCGAGGAAGATAAATTAATGTTGTGTTGCATTATACGAAAATGTTTAGAAGAAGTATAACGAGATGAATTGTCTACTAAGTGTATTTCCGAGAGGTTTGTTTGTATGTAATTGGTTGTTAAATGAACAGTAATTAGTATACTAAGTGAAGCTATAATTAGAGTCAAATTATATTATGGGGTAAATGTCTAAAAAGATTGGGAAAATAATAAAACGAGAGATTAGAAGGTATAAGATAAACTAAAATTTAAGTCAATTAATTCAGGGTAACATTTATAATAATTTACATCTTATGAATTAGCAAAACAGAAATTCCAAATTTTGAAAATGTAGATCGAGGCTTGATTTAGGATATAGACTTTAAAGGCTTTTAGAAAGCAAAAATATATGGTATGTGGTATAGTAAATAATTATCACTGTAAAATAAACTACAAACAAACCTCTATACACATAAAAAACGAACGAAAAATTAGAATTACTTACAATACTGCAAATTAAGAGAATTTTCTAATCAAATGAAAATTATTTCGAATAAAAAATACTTATATAATTTTCCAATTTTTAAGAAAAATCGATGCAAATTCGAAAAAATTACGGGTAATACTATCTAAATCGAGGTTTAAAATAATTAACAGGATGTCTACACATAGGGATGTAAAATAACCCACCTAAATTCCTAGCTAATAAACCACCCTGTATAAAAATCCTCCCTATATAAGAAAATAAAATTTTCGCGAGCACTGCGAGAAGAGAGCGGGAATTTATTAGAAAAAGTCGCTTGATTATTCAGCGGATGTAATGGAGTTTTTTTACTAAGACGAATGCGTTAGAAAAAAATAAATTTCAAGTAGATATTTTTTTAATTAAAAAGGTCATCAATAATGATACTTGGTTGCACAAACGTTCATCAAAAACGATAGATTAATCATCCACACTTACAGTTTGCGATGATGAATGATTAAAATATAATCATTCGATGAGCTTTTGTGTAACTTGCAAGTTCAAAGCAAACTTTTTATATTCGACTTTACCGGCTAAAAATCGCCGGTTAATCGAGGTCGAGGACGATTTATAAAAGAAAAAAAAAAGTATCAGTCGACGTCTGTACGAGAAGAAAATTCAATTATTCAAAAACGTTGTCGTCGCGAACTTTATTTTCCGCGGAAAATACATTTCCCCGTCGCTTCTAAGCCGTTAATAACTAAGTTTTCCCCCGTTTCTCGGCGACTTCTTTTCCAACAAACTCGTTTCTACGAAATTAAACCGGAGATTCGCAATTCGGAATTGGACAAGAAACGACCCGAACCCGGTCCGAGATTGTGCTGTAGATTTTTATTCTAATTTTCTTAGATAATTCTAGTAATAGTACAGAAAAAATTAACAATTTATCTAGCGACAGTGCAGAGAAGATAGTAAGTAAATGACACCAATGCATGAAGAGTTGCCTATATTGAGGTCATCTTCTTATCAGTAACACACCGATAACAGATCCAATTAGAAGATAGTTTTTGTATTTTTTGTATCATTTTACGATCGAATCACTTATATTCTTTTTTTTATTATTTTTATCGTTAAATTGTCGGTTTTTTTACCGTTATATCGGGATCAAAAAGATCAAGCTTAAATCGTTTTTTATAATTAACTATACAGGGTGTTTTGTTGTATCATCGTTTCGACTTTTAGCGCAAATAATTCACCCCATTTATCCATCCCCCTATCGGTTAGTTTAACTACTTTTTTAGCTACTTTTTAACCGATAGTTTTGTTTGATTTTTCGCCCTAGCAGGAATAAATTGCTGGGTAATGTTTGGTTGTACGAAAACTTTTCGTGAAAATTTTCATCGAATTCCCTGCGACATCCTGTTATTGGCGTTCGAGATTTTCTATCGATTAGCTGCTGAGACTAATTCCTCCGAGCCATTCTCTATTTTTAGCTGTTAAGTATCGCGGAATTCCTAATTGTTAAGTGCTGCTCGAGTTTGATTGAATTGACTTATTAGAATTTATATAATTTCGAATGACGAGATTTAGGATTAATTTTGTTGGTTTAAGTTGTGTTAAATTAATTTTATAAGAGCACCTTATCAAAATTATAATTGTTAGTGAATAGATTGATTCAATGAAATGACTAAAAACGAGAAATTTTCAGGTATAAAAAAAAGGAAATTTTAAAAAAATCGTGCCTAAATGTAATATAATCGTTAAAAAAATATGTGTATATATAAAAAAAACAATGTAAATAAAGCCGAATTATTGTAAAAAGACCGAAGAAATACTTAAAAAAATTAACGTTATGATATACATAGTCAATTTGTTTGAAATGAAATTGCACTGCATGCACTAAATAATTTGAAGAGAAATATCGAAAAATATATGTCTAGAAAAATGGAATACCTAGTTTGAACGTTATTAAAATGTACTAAAAAGCGTTGGTTTTTAATTTTTCCTATATCCTATTTCACATTGATATTCACACTAAAAATCAACCCGTTAATAAAAACAAAATTAGAACCTTTTCGACCTATTTCCAATCTATTAAATTTTACAAGAGAATTATTAAAATTCTGATATTTACTCAAATTTCCTTCAAAGTATAATCGCTTTGTAGATTTATGTTAAACCTTCACTGTTATATTAAATTAACCACCATCATATAGAGATTAACTAGAAGATCCTGGTGGTACTGACAACCCAATTTCGCCAGTAAATCAACAAACACATGCACAAAACCAAAAAAAATTCAAAAACTCACCTGCTCAAATCCCCCCAAAATATCAGTCGTATCCATAGCAGAAGTAACCGGCAAAGTCTTCAACGTCTTCCCAGCCAAATCAGCCAACGTTTTCACCACACCACTTTTCCCCGCCCCCGATGCACCCACCTGCAAATCAAACCAACAATCAAACCCAAAACTCATCCAAAACCTCCACAATCCACTCACCAATATCGCCATCCAATTCAAATTCACGCAGTACGCCAGGCTCCTGAGCACAGCCGCCTGCCGTCGCAACACCAGCGCCGTCTTCTCCTGCTTCGCCACGTTCGAATCCACCCCGCGCCGGTTCCTCCGCAGGAACACCTCCCCGAAGCGCACCCTATCGTTCGATAAATAAACCACGGGGGCGGTACCGCCCGCTTCACGCCCAAACACCTCTACAAACATCTCTCTAACGCGCCCTCTATCGCCCACCGAGCGCAACCGATCGCTATAAATCAACTCCACGAGGTCCTCGGGATGATATCCCTTCGAATATCTCGAATTGTAAACGATAGCCTCGCACCATCGCGTCAAATCGCGCAGGTTGCACTCCCACGGCGCCCCCTTGTGGCCGAATAAACGTTCATCCAAGGCCGCCGAGAGTTTCGCGTTGAACGCCACCATCTTGCGCAACAAGCTCGCGGGCAAATCGCGGTATCGCGCTCGGATTATACACAACAGATCTTCCTCGCTCAACGAATCCACGTAGACTTGTATGAAGCGGTTGAGGAACGATCGCGGTAAACCGCGCCGCGAACCGCCCTGTTTGGCGGGGTTCTGGCAACCGAAGAACCGGGTGCCGGGTCGGACGCGGAACGTTTTGCCCAATTCGGGGATGAATATCTCGCCGCGATGGTCGAGGCAGGCGTTGAGGCCTTCGAGGACCGATTGGGAGGCCAGGTTGAGCTCGTCGAGTAATATCCAGTGGCCGTGGCGGAGGGCCTGCAAGAGGGGCCCGTCGCGCCAGGAAAACCGCCCGCCGGCGGCGCCCTCTACCGGTAGATCGGCGCCGAATAGATCGGAGATGTCCTAAACGAAAATCGGCGAATTAGATGATGGATAAATGAGAATTAACTAACGGCAACTTACAGTTTGGTCTGATAGATTGATCCTGTATAACTGGTGACCGGTGAATTTGGCCAGGGCGGTCACCAAACTAGTTTTACCGACGCCCGGGCTGCCTTCGAGTAGAATGGCTTTGTTCAATTGCATCCCTCTGAGCAGCCTGAGGGTGTTGTGTAGGGTGGTGGGTGCGTTGAAAGTGAATTCCGTTTCGGTGGCGCCATCTAAATTCGTTTCGATGAAAAACGGTTTGATTCCGAATTTACCATCCGCTACGTCCACCCGCATGTCGTCCGGATTTAGAATGTTAGGGGAAGATGATAAGCGCGCTATTTGATTGGAGAGGAACCGCAAACATTTGCTTTTGAATTGGTTCAACGAGTTTAAACTGAAAAAAAATAAGGTGAGTATCATATTTTTTGGTTGTTTTGGATGTTTTTTTTTAGTTACCTTTCGGTGCTTGTAATTCCGGAACCTAAGCTATCCAGGAAGGTTAGGTAAGCACCGTGAATATAAGCTTCGGATATATCCATTTTTCCGTGGCAGGCGTTCAGAAAGTTGACCCAAGTTAGGATATCACGAATACTAATCGTAAATCTGCATAAAAAATTAATTATTGTTAATTATTGTTAACATGAACAAACGCGAGTGTTGCCAACTTAAATTCAAATCGCTCCTCCTAGTTTTTAAATTGAGTAAAAAAGGACATTCGCGCTCGCTATGTAATGACGTCATTTTTAGACGACGTCATTAATTTTCACACAGTTCAACATTTCCCTAGTGTCAATGTTAATTCTCCCATTTGACTAGGGGAATTTGATGATGCCTAGTTGAAAATCGAAGGCGATGTTGTCATGCATTTAGTCTCAACATTCGCAATATTTAGCGGCGCTTTGTAGTTGACACTTTGACAGGTTATGACTATAATTTGTTGTTTTTGCGCGATTTTCCTGTATTTTTTAAGCTAACGAGTAGGTTTTGTGTTTTTCGTTCGTTCTAGATAGTTTTTCGTGCGGTTTATGTACATTTATCGACAGTTTCTCCCGCGATTTTCGGTGTTTTTTCGACCTATTTTGAGAGGGAACGGGACGATGTAGGGCCTTTTTTCGCGATTAATATTTTCGATAGTTTAGCACATTGAAATTTATAGGTTATGTTAAACTTACGAATAGTTTATTTAAATGTATATTTCTGTTTTATAGGGTTGTGAATCGTTGCAAATAAACACCTCTACCGTCAATCGGATTGCAACCTAACGCATTTCTTCAAACAATAAAAGTAAACATAACCTTTAAATTAAACACATCCGTCACATCAAGATTTTTCATTTCAACCCGGCAACGTCGCAACACGTCATCCCCTGACGTCATTACCTACCCAGCGCGAATGTCCTTCATACAGCACAATCCCCACAACTTTGAAATCCCTCATATCCCTCGCATATGCATCCAAACATACCTTTTACCGATAGTGGTATTTTCGAACCATTCCAAAAAATCCACGATGCTCACACCGACGCCCGTTGAACCGTCCTGTTGGTTGCCCATCGACACGCCGATCGTCACGTTCCGCTCGACGATCTCCACCAAATCCTGTCGATTTTTGCGCGACTCGCACCAGATTTCGGTGAAGCGATTCCGCAGGGCAGGCGACAGCTCCTTCTTGCCGTAATCACCGCCCGGGTTCATCGTACCGATGAAGAAGAACCTCTCGTGGGCCACCACCAGCTCCGCGTCGTCCGCTTCGTTCATGTCTATGCCCTTTTCGGCCAACAGCAGGCTCCTCTCGGGCTCTAAAAAAATAATAATAATTCATTCGATTGCAATCTAGGGATTTCGATTGGAAACCCGGCAACGTCGCAACGGGCTGACTCGTGACGTCATTGCCTGACGAAATGGTATATATCTACCAACAGTCAATCTACAAGATTTCAATTAAAACCCGGCAACGTTGCAACAGACTATGAAACATGGTATATCTAAACAAATTCTGTATATTCAACTCTTACCCAATAATGAATTCAATCTTTCTAATACACTATCGTCGGCTAGAGATATTTCATCGGCTAAAAACACGTGACCGTGCAGCATGGATTCGATCAAAGGTCCATCGATCCATTCGAACAATTTCGTCGAATCGCTCTGTAAATACACCAAAACCAATCAGACGAGTTTAGGTAAATCCTACTTAACTAACCGAGTGATCTCTGACGGGTCTCAATCCACCGATGAAATCGCTGCTTTCCGTATGCATGTGACAATTCACGGTGACCAATTCTTGTCCGTTATTTTCAGCGATCAATTCGCATACGGTCGTTTTACCGCCGCCCGTTTCTCCTACTAATAACACCGGTTCTTTAAACTCCAACGCTTTGGAAACCAAAACAGCTAATTGTCTCATATTGTAGGTCCAAACGATGTTCTTGCGATTCGCTTTGGTCGCTTCGATCGTCTCCAAAATTCCCCGAGTCACAGTCGAAGTCTTAGCGGATACTACAAATTTTGTGTTATCAACTATATTAAGTACGTTTAATTGTTCGGTAACTTACAAGTAAACAGATTCTCCGGATTCACCTCGCGTTTCATGTTCTTCTGCAGTACCTCGATGATCTCGCGCTTTTCCTCGAACTTTCTAACTTTACCGGCCAACACCAAATACCCTTCGTCGGCCAAATGCTGATCCCAGTCGTAGAGTTTTCCGGTGTTCTGAGCCAATCTGTACCGTTCGCCCCATCTGAACAGATCTCTCAGAGTGATGAAACCTTGTTTGCCTGCAAAGGCGGCCGATCCCCTGCGCCTCGACTAAATAGAATACTATTAAAACCATCTCGATTCTATCAAGATTAATTTAATTACCTGCAGTTCAGCCACCACGTTTATTATCTTCTTCGCGTAACTCGGAGCCATTCGGCATCTCCGATGGAGGATGGTTTCCAATTCTTTGTGGGGTATTTCGTTGAAATGCAACTCGACGAATCTAAAAATACCGATTTAAACAATTAAATTCGAACACTACAAACTTAATCTACCTGTTTCTGAACGCTCTAGACAACATTTTCCTCCCACCGTACACACCAGGTGGATTCTGCGTAGCAAACAACATAAAATTCGGATCGGCCTTCACAGTTTCCTGCGTTTCCGGAATAAACAACTCCCTGTTATCGTCCAACACTCTATTGAGCGCTTCGAGCACATCGCTCGGGGCCAAATTCAATTCGTCCAGGATGATCCAATGGCCTTTTCTCATCGCTTCGACCAGCAAACCTTCTCGAAAGGCCAATTTCCCTTCGGAATCGGCCACGTAGCAGCCGACGTACTCCTGCAGATCGGTGTGCTCGTGGTTGTTGATCCTCACGCATTTGTTACCGCTCGATTTCGCTAAATACGTTATTAAACTGGTTTTACCCACTGAAGTATCACCCTGAAAATAATTACAATTAACACCGATTGCTCGAACTTATTGGGATATTGTACCTGTAGTAGAACGGGTAATCTTCCGATCGATACTACCCTTACTAAATCCTTTAAATTTCGCCTCACAGATTCCGTGAGTATGTAATCTTCGGGTACAGTTGGTTCTAATTGGCCTTTCTTCACCCAATAACCTTCGAACGGTATGTATTGGTTATCTTCCGGTTGAGGAATCGGTTTGTTCAAAACCGCTTTGATCGCCTTCGCATCTCCGATTAGAAGACTAAAAATAAACAAAACCAGTTCACCAACATCAATCTACTTAAATTCCACTCACCTAGCGATCAGATTTCCGACGATCCGGTACGAATCGCTATCCAATTGGGTCAAAAAACTGAGACAAAAGGCTTCGTAGAGGCTCCGTTTGAACGTTCCGCAGGGATTCTTCGAGGCTACGATTAGAGCCCTGCACAAGGACCTCAACGAGTAGTGCGGTTTGTGGCCGAGCCCGTCCGATAGACTCGAAACGGTCTCCTTTCGAACCTTCAAGTAGAACTCGACGATGCTCTCCAAATCCTTCCGTTTGATCGACATGGCCTCCAAGTAATTGTTCACCAGCAACAGCAAATCGCCGCGTTCGGCGAGCTCTTCGACGAAGAACTCGGTGAAGCGGTTTCGAAGACCCGCCGGTAAATCTTTCTTACCGACGTCCGTCGAAGGATTCATGCAGGCGAATAGGGTGAAATTCGGGTGTCGTTTCACCGGAGTTTTATCGCCTCTTTCCAACAAACACAACGAACCTCGAGAGCCTTCTAACAACCCGGATAAACATTCCAACGTTTCGGCGTTGGCTAAATTGATCTCGTCCAACAACACCCAGTGGCCTTTCTCGACCGCTTTCACCAGAGTACCTTCGATGAAAGCGAACGCCAGGGCGTTGGTGTGCTTCAATTGCACCTCTAGTTTCTTCAATTTCTCGCCCACGCTCTTCCACCTTCGCAAGAAACCTTTCTCCTTGTCGTACCTATCGATAGTCCCTTCGATTTTCAACTCCTCGTAACTTCCCAAGGACTTCGATAATCTGGTTTTAGCCGCTTCGCAACTCACCGACATCAGCTTCACCAAATCCGACCATCTCTGGCTGTTGAAGCACAACGCCAAGTTGCTCAGGTACTTCCTGTTGGGTTCCACTTTGAAATAATCGCCGAATACCAGCTCGAATTCCCTCCTGATCGGCGCTATTACATGCTTCAAATCGACCGGTTTGAATCCTCCCAATAAATCGGCCGAATCGGACTGCTGGTTCATGTTGATCACCACCAATTTCTGTCCAATGGTATGAGCCAAGCATTGAACGCAAGAGGTCTTTCCGGTACCCGTTTCACCCACCAACAACACCGGTTCTTTCAGTTTCACGCAACACATGATCCTCTCGAGCAACACCGACGACTGTCTGGTGTACGAAAATTTCACCGGCTTCGCGAATTCGCTGTTATTTCTAGCCAACACCGCCCGACCGGCCACTAAATGTTCCGGTGTGAGTTGCATCGAGGGCTTGTAGTCCTTGAAGAAATAGTCCGCTTTGTGATTGACGATGCCCAATTGGGTGGCGATTTCCTTGGCCAATTCCAAAGCGTCCGATTGGTTCGAGTAGGAGCAACAGAAGACGTCGATGGCGTCTTGGAGGACTTTCAGAGCGCTGGATTGGCTCTTGACGTCGAAATCGATGATAGCTCGGGCGCACCATTTGAAGAAATCCCTCGTGGAGATTTGCCTGCCGCTTCGCGGTACTCTCATCGTAGCAGGATCGAACCCATCTTGATTGAATAACAGGAAGACATTGACTAGTCGATCGGATGTGGTTTCGAAAGCAGGGTATTTCGCGACTATGATTCGCTTCAATTCCTCTGCGGTAAGAGGATCGATGTTGATTTGCAGGAGGTGTTTTTCCAACAGCGACATCGAGTTGGAATGTTTCTTATGGTGGCCCGATATCGTCGATACGAATCTACAAACATTATAGTACATTGTTTGAAATATCGAGATAAATTAGTAGTACCTGTGTGTAACGAATAATTGAAATCCTGGTGTAACCGGTACGGAATCCCTGTAGCCTGGAACCGTTAGAGAATTGTTTTCGAGTAAACTGGTCAGCATCGAAGCGATGTCCATACTGGCCGAATCTATGTCTTCCAGAAGCAACCAATTACCTTCTAATACTGCCTGTTTGGAAAACTAAGAATGAGTACACGAACGAATCGAAATAATACTGATTTATTTGCCTGAGTTAGTACTCCGGGTTGCCAGACGAATTCCCCCGGGACATCGGTACACCTGTAAGTTCCCAACAGCATTTTACTGTCGGTTTGATCTCCTAATTGAACTTTGACGAAATTCTCGCCCAAGTTTCGTCCGACTTTTTCGGCGAAATATTCCACCAGCGTTGTTTTGCCTGATCGAATTAAATTCTTGTAAAATCACTCTTTTAGATAAGTAACATAACACTTGCCTGATCCAACTGGGCCTTGCAAGCAAACAGCTTTATTTAAGGAGAGTCCCAGGGCGATTTTAGCTAGATTGTTAACTGTTGATGGCACTTCTACTAGAGCAGTCTTAATATTCGAAGACTTCGATACAATGGGTATGGAAATGCCGGAAAAATCGGCGAGATCTTCCACATCACCATCGGGTTTGCTACAAACGGGATTCAAATTCACGGTTGGCGTGTCTCGATTGTCATCGAGAGATCCTTTTAAGTTGAAAATGCACGTGAATTGTATATTTAATTCCTCGGGTAGTTTATTTAGAATAATTTTTTTAGTTACATTCTCGCTCATTCCAAAGAGAATCGCAACTATGTGACAGCAATGCCTGCAAACGAATTAATTCAATAATAGTTTATTTTTTTCAAAATTCGATACTTACCATTCGATTCTTTTATCTTGGTGGTCGAAATATTTCTTGAGAAATATGGACCAATTCCATTTATTCCTGTAAAAGTCTGCATTGCTTATTAATAGATTGAAACAAGATTCGACGAATTGTAAATCGGTGTGGCGAATTTTTTCGGTTTTGGATTTTTTTGAACTGCTTTCGTCAATTTCTAATGATTCGAATACTGAAGGATGCTGGGAAAAATATTTCAAAGCGAACCTAAAATAACAATTTTCATTTTAAATTCATAATCGTTGAATGAATAAGTTTACTTACCCCTGTAAATCATTTCGTTTGCTAATCAATCTGCCTAATAAGATCGTTTTTAAAATAATAACGCTTCTTTCATCGTTTCTTTTCGAAAACAATAACCTCTGTAACAGCAGGGAAATGTGCTTCGAAAAATGATTAAATACATCGTTGAATTGTAAAGGATCCAAGAATAAATCAGTCGCAATATAGTTAAACAGTAACTCCAACTTTTTAGTCTGCTTAAGCTTCTTATTCGCTTCTAAACTCTGAAATATTCAAATAAAATTCAATTATGGTGTAATTCATTAGATAGTGCAAAACTAGCGTTTCTTACCTTGGCAACGATTTGTAGTTGTTCGTTGATATTTACAAATCCTAATAAACATTCACGTAAATCACTATTAATAATCATTTTAGAAAATAGTCGGTGTTTTGGCCTATTTTATAAAAAAAAACACGTGTTTGAAAATGCATGCCCGTGCGTGAACGCACATGGTTATTTCAATGCAGCCAACCTATATTATTCAAAACCAAAATCCCCTACTGTCAATTCAGGAGTAATTCTGGGGGATTTTTAATTTTGACTGTTGGTGATGTTGTCAAAAAACTGTAAATGTCAATTGTCAACCAATGTCATTTTAATTTCACAGAGGACATGATTAGCACGTGTAGAATTTAATTAATTTAACGTAGTTTTTAAAAAATGGCTATAGAAAAGGGCATCGCTCACCGTTCGGGCGTTTTCAAACAATCAAACAAAGAGCACAAACACGGCAGGCACCGTTCCAAAGGCTCCATTAGCGTATCCAATAAAGGTAAAGTAAGGTTATGTCGCATTATTTTTCTATTAAATAACGAATAAATCGCAGGAAAAGTATCGGTGAAAACCATTTCGAAGCGCAACAAACGCGAATTGAACAGAGAGCAACGGCGAAACCAAGCGCTGCAAATCAGACAAAATAAAAGAGATGAAGTTTTGGATAAAAAGAGGTCCCTAGGGGGTACGGATTTCGCTCCTTTTTTGGTTTGCCTTGTCCCTTTAAACATCGACATCGATCCCAACACTGCGTTAGCTTTATTAAGCCAATGCGACGAAGATGCAGCAGTTTCTAAAAGCTCCACCGGCGTTACACACATTAGGTTTGTTCTCGAAGTATTTTAAACAGCTCGTTATTATAATAATTCATTGCAGTATACCGAGATTCAAGCAACGATTCGAGTTCGTAATACCCGATAGAGACCACGATTTTGCCGTATTGGATACACTAAAAATCGCAGATACTGTCCTGTTTCTGATATCAGCTGCGACAGGATTGCAGGACCAGGAAGCTCTGATAGACGCCTGGGGAAATAAAGTGTTGACTTCTTGTTTCGCTCAGGTAAGTAGTGGGTTTAATGTCGTTGCGAAATAATCGTGAGGTTTATTCGAAGGGTTTACCTACACCGGTGGTTGTCGTTACTGATCTGGCTAGTGTAGCGCCTAAAAAGAGAAACGAGCACAAGCAAAACATTCAAAAATTGGTGAACAAATGGCTGCCCGATGAGAAGATTTTCGTCATGGAGAAGAACGTTGATGCTATTAATGTGCTTAGGAAAATTGGTAATCAGAAGCGAAAATCAGTATTGTATAGAGATCGAAGACCTCATTTATACGGCGAAGAGTTGGAGTATATTCCCGATGCAGAAGGTACAATATTTAAACAAAAAAAAACGCAAATAATGAGTTTTATTTTATTATAGGAACATTAGGTACACTCAAAGTAACAGGCTATTTAAGAGGAACAAACCTATCGGTTAACCAATTAATCCATATTCCTGGGTTAGGCGATTTCCAAATGACTCAAATCGATGCACCGTTCGATCCCCATAAAATCGAAAAGAAGTGAGTTTACTAATAATTTACCAAACCGTTCTTTAACGTCGATTCTCGCAGGAACAAAGAAACAACCAGTTTGGAAACGGAGAATCCCGATGTGATAAGAATATTGGAAAAATGCGATCCCACCCAACAAGAATCCCTCGATTCCGAGAACGTTCCCGATCCGATGGACGCCGAACAAACCTGGCCCAACGAAGAAGACATGGAAATGGCGGAGAAGGAGCAAAAAGTAATTTACACACACACAATATCCACCTCGTAATGGTATTAATCGAGTTGATTTATCAGGTGAAAAAAGCGAAGAGGGTTCCGAAAGGTTGGTCCGATTACCAAGCAGCTTGGATTCCCGACGAAGACGCCGAATTCGTCGACGAATCCGATGGAGAGGAAGAGGATGATGATGAATTTATGGAAGCGATGTCCGAGGAAAAGTCCGATGATGAAGATTGTAACGATTTTAATACGGTCACCGAATCTGAGGTGGCTGTAAATGATGAACGGTACGATAAAGACATGGACGAGCAGGCGGAAAAGCGGGAATTGGAGAAAATTAAAGCCGCTAAAAGCGATAGGGAGTTTCCCGACGAGGTCGATACACCTTTGGATACGACTGCTAGCGTTCGGTTCCAAAAGTACAGGGGTTTGGAAAGTTTTAGGTTGGTTTATAATAGTTTAAAGTCACCGAAGGTTTTGTTAATTGGTGTTTTTTTGTTGACAGAACCTCTCCGTGGGATCCGAAAGAAAATCTACCAAGCGATTACGCTAGGATATTCGAATTTCAAAACTTTGATCGCACTAAAAAGAGGGTGTTGAAAGAACAGGAAGATAAAGATGGCGTTTTGGTAATTACTAATTAATGCAACTTTAACTCTCTTTAACTATTTTTATCGTTTCTATTACAGCCTGGATGGTATATTACGGTGCACGTGAAAGCGGTATCTCAGCTTTTGTGGCAGAATTTCGTTGAAACTAAAGCTCCTGTGACTGTAATCGGGATGTTTTCATACGAACATAAAATGTCCGTTTTGAATGTTGTGTTAAGAAGAAACCAAAATTACGAGTTGCCCATTAAATCGAAAGAACGTCTAATCTTCCAATGCGGTTACAGAAGGTTTGTTGTCAGCCCGATTTTTAGTAGTCATACTAACGGTAAAAAACATAAGGTATTAGTGTCAATGGAAACGTTTTAGATTTCGATGTAATATTTGTTGTGTTTTAGTTTGAAAGATATTTTCAACCGGATTCCACTGTAGTTGCCACTTTTTATGCACCGATTCAATTCCCTCCGGCTCCGGTTTTGTGCTACAAGGAAATTAATAATCGATTAGCTCTCATCGCTAATGGAAATTTGCTGTCTTGTAATCCCGAAAGAATGGTTATTAAGAGAATAGTTTTATCAGGTACGAATTTAAATAATTTCCTTAACATAAACATAACATTTTTTTTTACCTCGTAGGTTATCCATTTAAAATACACAAAAAATCGGCAGTCATCCGGTTTATGTTCTTTAATAGAGAAGACATCATTTATTTCAAACCGGTGAAATTGAGGACGAAAATGGGCCGAACAGGACACATTAAAGAGCCTCTAGGTATGTACAAAAACTACATTTAAATTCTTTATCGCTAAATTATAATTGCACAAATTTTAGGCACACATGGACATATGAAATGCATATTCGATGGACACCTCAACTCGCAGGACAGCGTCCTGTTGAATCTTTACAAACGCGTTTTTCCCAAATGGAGTTACGAAGATCTCATCGTAAGTTGTATCGGAGACAACATGGAAAGTTAATTGAATAAATTACGCTTAATTAACTTATTAGATTATCTATTTAATTGCAAGTTTAAAGCACCATATACAGATCAAATAACAATAATATTACACTTTTTACAAATACTTAAATTAGTTATTAAGGTATGACTTTGTAAGGATTGAGTATTCCCTTCGGATCCATCATCACTTTGAGCTGTTTCATCAAGTTTATAGCTCCCGGACTCTTCGAATAATGGATGTATTTGGGTTTCCTGAAACCCACGCCGTGCTCGGCACTCACGCTACCTCTCAACTTCGCCGTGTACTCGTAGATAAACGGTTCGATAATCCTCAACACCTCTTCGTTAAACTCCTTTAGAGTCACCTGCAGGTGGATGTTACCGTCGCCTGAAAATTCCATTCGAAACTCATCCGATTAGAACCCGATTAAACTCACCTAAATGGCCGTACCCGCAGACTCTCACGGCGTCTTTCACCCTTTCCCTCATCACGGGAACCAACGAATAAAATTCCCGAGTAGGGAGCGAGATGTCATATTTAAAAACATATCCATCGTGCAGCAAACCTTCAGTGATGCTCTCTCTCAGCTCCCAAATCGCCTTGAAAGCGCCGATACAAATTTCGCATGCAATTTCCTCGGTAAACTCACCTTCATCTTGCCGATTTCGTTGGTCGTAGTCCCGTCTCGGACGAGGCCATCGCTCATGCAGCTCTCCAAGAACCCGTGCATCTTCTCCTCGTCGTGATCGCAGCTGCTCCCGTGGGTTTCAATCAGCATGTAGAAGGGATATACACTGATAGGAGATTTTAGGTTTAAATGGCTGGTGACAGCGTCCAAGCTGGGGTTATCGATGAGTTCGCAGGAGGAGAGGATCTCGCCCAATTGGCGCTTGGCCTGTCGCAGGCAGGCGAGGACGTCGTCGAAGGATTCCAATCCTGCGATCGGAACGGTTTGGAATACATTCTAAATTCTAAATTAATTTACCTAAAAAGGCTACGTTGAGGGCTCGAGGCTTCGGCGGACATTGTATGGCGACTTTCGTGACCACTCCAAGGGTGCCTTCGGATCCGATGAACAGATGTTTCAAGTGGTAACCCGTGTTGTCCTTTTTTAAAGCGCTAGTGCAGTCTATTACCTCACCATCGGCTTTCACCTGCAAGAACAGGTATTGGTGGTTGTAGATGTAGCAGGAGATTGGGGTTCTTACCGCTTCCACTCCCAGTACACTGCCGTGTAAATTCCCGTATCGAAGTAATCGCAATCCACCGGCGTTGGTGGATATATTTCCTCCGATGTGGCAGGAGCCTTTCGCTCCCAAATCCAGCGGTATCATCAAATCGCGCTCGTCGGCGAAGTTCTCCAAGTTCTCCAAGATACAGCCGGATTGACACACCAAAACACCTTTAAAAAACTACAGTTAGAGAATATAATGTAGGTGATGGGTGAAGTGTACCGGAATTTTCATCTAAACTGATTATATCGTTCATCAAACCGGTCCAAAGGACGACTTCATCGAATACTGGTACAGATCCTCCAACCAAGCCGGTGTTCCCGCCTTGTGGGCAAACGGCGATCCGGTTATCGTTGCAAAACTTTAGGATTTCGGAGACTTCTTGCGTGGTTTTTGGTTTCAGAATGCATTGACTGTAGCCTGCAAGCAAGAAATACCGTTGTAAATGTACAAAAACGCATTAAAGTGAATTATTGTAAGATTAAAAATCGTTTTCTGTGTGATGATAATGCACCGCAGGAGCTCAATTCCGCTTTGCGGGGAACTTTGAGCGATGAGGGAACTTCTCGTTTCTGCTCGGAACAAATTACTCGTCATTTGTAAGGATGCTATTGCAAACAATAAGCCCGGATAATCCGGGCGATCGGGATAATGGTCGACGCCTGGAATATTATGTTCCTGCCGGAGGAAATGGAGCTATGCAGTTTGTATAAAACGGTTATTAATTGGCAATTTGCAGGACAATTCGGAGCAAGTGGAAGAGTAAATGTTATGAAGTTACTATGTACTAACCTCTAACACTTTTTAGCCAATCGATGTTGAATCCTTGGCATTCGTCCTTGTCGGTTATAACTCGATTCTCGCCGAGTAGATTCTTGAAATATCCTAAATGTTTCTCGTTCAATTCCGCAAAGTCTCGCCTTTTTACTTGCGGGTATCTATCCTGAAAAAACCCCCGAAATATCTCAATTACATCTCAATTTCCATCCACAGACCAACGCAAATAGCTCAACTAGTTCCCAATTTCCGCCGAAAGTCCCTTTGATTTCTCATCGACTCTCCGGCTCGTTATTTTTCCACGCGAAAAAACCACCCCAAAGCAATTGCCTCCATTTCGCGTCCAGCATGTTTACCGACTGCCAAGCACATGAGAAACGGGCCCCAAAAATTCTCATTACAGGATCGATAGGCTCGCGAAAAAAGGGGAGATATCGTCGAAAAAAGGCTTCCTCGAGAGGATTTCATCCAGGCATCTCTATTGCAATAGAGAGTATGAAATAAGGGTGGTGTTTAAATAGACTAATGGGTGATTTTATTATGTAATGAAACAGTAGGTAGCTAACCTACTAAATTATGAATATCTTTCGGTTGTTAATAAGCTGTAGAATTCTTTTGAACCTTCTCAAATCTTGCAAAGAAAATAAGTATTCTACTAGATATTGGGATGTTTCTACGACTTTTTCGTGCTCAATTATTTCCCCCAACGAAGCGGGGTTGTGTTCGTTGGGCTTCGCCATCCATCGGCCCGGAGCGTCGCGACGCGAAATCTCACCTTAGTTAGTTGCGGAAGGGCGCCAGCGCCGGATAACTGCCGGAGAGATCGCTCGAAGGGATTATTATTATTATTAGGCGGGAAAGGGCGACCCTCTGGGGACCCGAGGAACGGTCCGATCAGGCGTCGGGCGGCCCCCCCGACGAGCATGTGACGTCGCATGCGAGAGTTGAAGGGCTGAAGGGCCGGGGAATAGTCCGAGAGAAGCTGTAAAATAAAGAGATTTGATTATTAGGTTTTTTTCTTTATAAGGTAGACTGGTGTAAATGTAATATTTTTACCTATTATGTTAATGTTTTTTATTATTTTTATAGTTCTTTTGTGCATTAGACAGGGTTTGTTTTTTAGTTTTTCTTTATTATTTTGTAGCTCTGTTATTTTTTGAAATAAATAAATAAACAGCATATCAAATTTTAGAGGAACCAAATATTTTTTTACAATTGTCCCCCATATGTTTTTCTATATAATTGTATAGCACATTAGAACGGGGGTAAATCTAACATATTGTCAACATTTTAAAAAATATGTAAAATCGTTTTCTTCCTTTTTCAAAAAAAAACTTTTTAATACCTCGATTCTTTAGTTTAGGAAGTTGTGAATTTAATGTGGTATCAGCATTTCTAATAAGAGAAAAAATAAAGCCACATTTTAGGATTTAATTTGAACTATTCAAATTTTACAACCGATTTGCCACAGTCTACCTTATAATGAAATGGTGGGTTTCGGTGGATGCAATGTTGCATAATAGAACGATTAATACCTTTGGAATTTTATTATAATAAGCAATTAAATTTAATTTAACTTACTGCGAAATTAGAACACCCTCTTAGTCTACCCTTAAACTAATATACAATTTTGAAAGCACTAGTTGTAAATAACAATGAATGTTAGGTATTAAACTTTTACATGTACACCTCTGCTTAGTTCAGGTTTATCTGCTGTTTTAAATTCGTTTCTATCTATCTAATAATAATTAAGGTTACTTTTAAGTGCAAGGACGTTGATAACGATAACAAAAAAAAAAGCGAATGAAGGTTACTAAATTCAACAGCAAATAAACTATTGTTAATTAAATTAATCAAACCATTATGTGTCTTTTAACGAGTAAAATAGAATATAAAGGAGTAGAGTAGAGTAGAGTAGAGTAGAGTAGAGTAGAGTAGAGTAGAGTAGAGTAGGGTGGAGAATTTTTAAAATTTATATTACATCTTCAGAATTAAATTATGTTTTAGAATTTTAATTTTATATTTTTAGAGTAGCAAGGTATTTTAGTTAAAATTTTAACCAAATAAATAGAAATCTCCATTTTATAGGAATAAATAAAAAATATAACAACACTGCTTGAACATTATTTCTTTATAAATTCGCCTACAACCTTTTTGGGAGCCACCTCAGTTTAGCCATTTTTTTTTATCAATTTGTCCTGATACTGCGCCTACTTCAATTACCTCATAATACCTGTAATATAATAATAAAGAGTTTTCCATTTCCCCTAATTAATTAATATCAAATAATTCGAAAAACCAATAACGCTCGGCGTCCCCCGCGTATCCGTAACGATCCTCTCCTCGCAATCGAAAAAGGGGCCCCCTCCGGGCGAATCTCGCCCTTCCGTGCGTACGGAGAAGGGCGGAAAAAGGGCGGAAAAGGGCGCCGGGGGGCGCCCCGACGCTTTACGCATCGCACGCGGCGCCCCTTCGTAATATATATATAACGGACCAACCCCAACGAACGAGCAATTTACTTGTCAAAAATTCAGTCCGTCTGATGTGAGTCGCGTTATCAAATCGACCCTCCTGGCCTACATTCACAAATCTACATCCCCCGAAGTGGGTCATCCCGTCGGGGAAGGGGGGCGCTAATTTATCACCGAATCGGGTGCATTTTTAATCGATAATATCATGCTTAACAGTAACTTACATTAGTGTTATATACAGATTGCAACATATAGGCTGTGGGTGCGACAAAGACAACTTAAATTAGACATTTATAAAGGAAAAAAGAAAGAGTGACATTTGTGTCATTACAAGTTTTCACTCTGACAACTGTTGTTTTATTAATCTTTCTTTGTTCAACTCATAGAAACGCCCATATTGCAATCGGAAATGGAGCAAGTTGTATAAGTACCTACCTACTAGAGATTATTATTGTTTGATTAGTGCAATTAGTAAAATTTTGTGATAGGTAGCACATATACAGGGTGTTCCATAATGACAGGCTAATATTTAAGGGGGTGGTTCTTGGACACGTTTTAAGAAAGTAACTTTATGTTTTAAACCTAAAATTTATTAATTTTTAATTTTAGCATAGCAGCAGGGTACAAATGAAAGCATTTATTTTTTTTAATGCGAAACGTTGAGTCGTACGAAAAAAAGTCAAGAAATCAAATTTGTTCTAAATCGAATGAGGATTCCGAAAATAATTTTTGTTTTAATATTAGGCAGTGGCGTACTATTTTTTTCTACGAATATATTCAATGCGACACCCGTACGGACGCCACTGTTGAAAATAATAAAATTATTCCTACATCAAAAAATGCATCATGATTCATAAAAAACGCGTGCCAAATTTCATAAAGATATCTAGAATAGTATCACAGTTATTACAAAAAATTGATCTTTGTTTCTCAAAAACTTTAACACCCTGTATCTCAAAAATTAAGACGTTTAGGACATTCGTACGAAGTTTTTTCTTTGAAATAGGCCCAAGAATCACCCCCCTAAATATTAGCATGTCATTTTGGAACACCCTGTGTATACGGGTCGAGTCATAAAATGCTCTTGCAAAATGCATAACATTTTTTGGAAACATCTCATTATCTCATTGCAACTATAACAGTGTTTTTGTAAATGTATTATTCAATTAAACCTACCAGTTTTTTATGGTATAACCGCCACAAACTCCCCGAAAAAAAAAACCAACAGACCCACCGTAAAAAAAATCAAACTCTCCCATCCCGTTCCCCGACGTTTCGCCCGATGGAAATGGAAATGGAAATGCCATCATCAGGAACAAAAAAAAAATCCCGTCTGCCATTTCCGATTAAACCGCACATTAAATCCGCCGTCGCCGCCGCCATATGCACAATATATACATGCAAATATGATTAACGACGCCCCGCGGGGTTCCCCCGGTATGTCACAATCGCAGCCCTAACATCAATTCGCTTATCAAGAACAGGGGGGGACGTCAAATAAGGGAGGCCGGGATTATATAAATATACAATGGCGATGCAAGTTAAATTTGCTCCGTTTAACTCCTTCATTAGCAGGAGATCCTGCGAGAAGGATTGATGCAGTAAAAAAATGCAAACGAACAATGCTTGGTTTAATGTATTGTGAATAATAGTGACAAGTTTGTAGTCACGTGGGAATGAAAACTTTAAGAAGGTACTGTATGTAGGTACCTACTATAAGATGTCACTGTATATAAGGTAAGAGTTTATATTGTATACCAAATACACGGTATAAAATGTATATATTTATTTTAAATAAAATATTTGGTAGTTTTCTTCTCGAGTATACTAAGCGTTTGTATAAAAAGTAAAAAATCAAATTCAATAAACAAAAACGAGTTTCTTTTCGCGAGCAATTAACCAACCCTTCCTTCAAATAACCTCCCCCAAACCGACCTAACACGAAACTTATATGAGGATATTATTAGATATGGTATATAAGGAGTAAAAAGGGTTCCGGAATGAATCCAATAACACGCCCTATCGCGAGTCATTCATATACAGTGAGGTCCAAAAGTCCGTTGCCTCCCCTTTAACTTTTGAATGGTAAAAGTGACAGTTTTTTCGTTTAAAGGACGAGCCATTGTCAATTTCATCAACTTTAAATTTGGCAAATAAATGTCAGAGCCAAGAAACCATAACAATAGTTAATTGACACATTTTATTATACATTCAGAATTAATTTTTAAATGTATCAATATGCCCAGGGGTTAAAACTAAATTGGTCTTCACGTGAATACGTGTTATTAAAATTTTGTCAAATTTGGTGGTTGACTTAAGAATGAAATTACCTTTAAAACGAGGTGTCACTTGACCCCCCTTTCCATAACAAAAAAATATTCAAAACGGCGCCTAACTGTCATTTTAAAAGCTTCACCTGTCATTTTTACGTCAATAAATACCATTTTTACTCCAATATAACCACCCCAAATTTCGCGACGAAAGCTCTTATACCATTCAAAAGTTAAAAAGTGAGGGGGGGAGGCGATGAACTTTCGGTCCTCACTGTATACGATGGAATACATATACATATTCTCCCTTCCGGCGTCTCCGCGAGATCCTTCATACATCAAGAAGGCCAATGCTCGTGTACCGAACCCTCCAGGGGCGCGTACTCGACTCGGCGTCGGAGCGGAGCGTCGCGACGCCGACGCGCCCTTCCCCGTCCGCGTGTCCATTGGCTTCGCGCGCTATCGGAGGGGAATACGGCCGGAAGTGTCGGGGGAGTCGGGAGTTTTTTGATGAATGAAGACGCCGGGGGAGGCGCGTCGCGTCGCCCGGCGTCGCGGCGCTCTCGATGCATCAATGGGTTGGGACTTTTGTTGTGCTGATGATTGTATTATTTAGGGTTTATTTGTATATACAGCGTGCTTCGTTCGCGATTGCAACATGGGCGTTTCTATGAGTTGAACAAAGAGGGATTGTTAAAATGACAGTTGTCAGAGTGAAAAGTTGCAATATGACATAATGTCATTCTTTCTTTTTTCGTTATAAGTGTTTAATTGTAGTTGTCTTTGTTGCACCTTGTCTATGTTGCAATGAAAAATGAAGCAATCTGTATAAGGATTAGACTTGACTGATTTTCTCGTCTGATGTTGGAATTGATGATTAATATATTAGTAATTATATACAAAGAGTGCGTTCGAAATATGAAAAATGTTAATAGATTATATCGAAAAAGATGAATAATCATACTTACTAATCATACCTAACTTATAACCTAATAAGTAGATATTATCTATTCAGTATGTACTACAAATTATTGATTTAGTAGTTTACCTTGTTGTGGAGATAATAAAAATTAGTTTGAGGTATACAGGATGGTTCAAAAATGAAGATTTTGAATTTTATTTTCTAAAATTCTATGTGAAATGGCTGAAATTTGATTTTTGAGTTATGCACAAATTGGCAAGTTGGTACCTAACATATAAATGTCCTACGAGTTTTTTAGAACTGGAAAATATGGTAGGGGTTAATTAATTGAGTGCTGATACTTCAGGATGTGAATATTTGGGTGATTTTAAGAAGAAAAGTTTATATGGATATGTGTCCTAAATCTATTAGTTTTCGAGCTACAAGGTGTTAAAATTTTAGAAAAACAAAATTACTTTTCTATCGTAATTTTCTTACTACTTCAGATATTTTTACGAAATTTTATACACATTTTTTAATTGTTAGGAAGCATATTTTGAGGCAAAAGATTTTTAAAATTTTTCACCAATGACGTCCGTACGTGGTTTTAACTGAATATGTTTGAAGAAAAAATGGTACGCCACTGCTTTTTCTAAAAACTAAAATTATTTTTAAAATCCTCATTTATTTTAGAGCAAATATGGTCTGAAGAGTTATTTTCGTACGACGCGCCATTTTCGCGTAAAAAAATAAAAACCCATTCAAAACATTTTTTTCAACATTCAAGTTTCATTGGGACTGGCTTTTGATATTTTGTTGAAATTTGGTATAGACACCCAATATGCATGGAAATACTTTTTTTTGGTAACAAAAATTATGTTTTTTACTCTTACCAGTGACGTCCACGTCCGAAATTTCATAAAAATATCTGTGGACTGATAAGAAAATTATGATAATAGAAAAATTATTTTTTTTCGAAAACTTTAAAACACCATGTAGCTCAAAAACTAAGAGATTTAGGACATACGCATTGATACAAACTTTTCTTCTTAAAATAATCCAAATATTCACATACAACAATAACATTTTTTTTTCCTTTATTTGAGACTAATGAAAATTTTCTTTGTTTGCATCTAAAACAACTGATGCAACAAATTTGCATCTATATATAACCTGTACTAACTATATTAATTCTTCCCATAATCAACGATTACCTACATAATATGTTTCTATAATGTTTACATAGTTTATATAGACTTGAAAAAATGACTTATAGGTATACAAGAACCTCCCTCTAAACATCCTGTAATTTTTCATACCACCTATAATATACCTACAGCACCCATTTAGATAGTCATACACCTAACTTATCTTCATAGTCATCATCTTCATAGCTAACCAAACGGAGTATTAGAACAAAAAAAAATGCCTGGTATAAACTAGTTACTACCAACACCCAACATCAAACAAACCCAAACACAATCCCAACGCAAAATCCCGATCCCCTTATAGGTCGAAAAAGACCATCTCCCGACATCAAACCAGGAGTGGTCACGACACGTCAGGTAATTTGCGTTTGTGACATTACGATCCGGCCGATCTCTCACGCCCAATCATATCAATCAGCCATTAGCGGGTAATAATAAAAGAGAGAACAAACTGGCGACGAGGCGACGGCGAACGGCCCAATCGGGCGCATTCTAACCGTCGAAACGGGCCCGATCCGGCTCCAAGGAGGCGGTTAGAATGTGCCGTAGATGCGCAGGCGCTTCGGGGGGCGCTTGGAATGGGCGAGGCGCAGGCGCCGGTTTGGGAACAGCCATGCTCGGGAACCATGCGAACGGGGATAAAGGACTCGTGCTGGTTATTGGTCGGTTGGTCCCGCTGTCGAGGGCAGCGGCGGACCCGGCGGAAGGGTTTTTCGGTTTGGGGAATTTCGATGGTTGGTTTAGAATGAGGTTTGGTTTCTGAGATGATTTTTTTTGTTGTAGTTTTAAATGGTGTGGTTATTAGTTGTTTTGAATTGGTTACTTTGCACTTACAAGTATATTTATTGTAATATTGTGTTTAGGTATACTTATAATAAGGTTTCTGCATGCATTTTTAATGTGGCTAGGAAGTTTTCTATACCGGTTTGTTAAAAACTGATGGTTATTAATTAAGGTTTAATTGGTGGTTTTCTAATGAATTTCTATAGCATTAAGTAGGTACTGTGTTTTTGATTATGGTTAATTAAATTTCAAAAGTTATATCGACTATAGAGTGCTTCAAAAAATTTTTCATAAATGATCTTTCGCCAAGAATATAACAAAAAAATTAGAATATATGGACTATATTCAGCCTACATCTAGAGCTCCTCTTTTTGAAACTTAAATATGACGCGTTTTTAACTTGACAATTGACAGTTGTACATTGTTGTTATGCAGTGTTAGGTAACTAAGGACTTTGTTTACATTGGTGAGATTAAAAAAATATCTTTGATGATTTTTATAAACATTTTTTTTGAATATTTATCATTATCATCAGTTTAAAAAACAATGTTTTCACTGTTATATAAGATTTTTGGAGGATTTTGATGTACAACTATAATATACAGGGAACAACTATAATTTACAACGAAAATTAAATTCTGCAATGTAAGTTGCTCTTATTTCCAAGCATTTTGCATGTCACAAAAATAAGCTCAAAAAATTAACTTAAAAATACTGAAAATCTAAAAATGCACATTCGTATGTTATTTATTCATAAGTAGGTATTCCATGTTATTTTAGTTTCTATAATAACTTCGATAAATAATTTTCCTTGATGATTTAATCGCCTCCCTAATCAAGTCTTTAACATCATAAAAAAGGAAACATCGTCGAAATATTAATTCATATACAGTATCTCTGAAAAAGTTGGCAACATATTGGAAACTTCACAATGGTAAATTTCACGCGAAAAAAAGTTATTCTTCATCAAAATCTCTGCTTTTAAAGATAATATTCAACGGGTATTTGACATATTTGACATTTGACATATTCATCAGGTATTTGGTACATTTGACATTAGGTAGATGTACAGGATGTCCAGAAATTGCAAAAAATTAATAGAGGAATATTTCGAAATAAATAATTCTGATTACTGGAAATTGGAATATTTAGTGAAGTAATTGCACTAAAACGTAATTTTTAATTCCTATCAACACCTTAAAATTATGCACTTAATATCTTGAGAACAAAATTTGTAAAAATAACATAACTTTTTTAAGTAGTACTATAATCTAATTGCTTATTAAAACATTATAATTTTCTATTTCCAAGAACTTTTTATAAAGAATACAATAAAAATCCAAACCTAATTCTTATAAACTTTGCATCTTTACATTATATACACAAAATGCAAACGAATAATTAAATTTTCGCGGGAAAATCTCGGCGATTTAAGCCTCCCTCGATCGTACCCGAAGAACCTCAAACACAACACCCCAAATCGAAATCCCCCCACCGTCTCCCCCCCCCCCCAACCGGACGCCACCGATCGCTTCATTCAACTTTCCCGGTTTCCCCTTCTCGCGCTCCCCCACCGCTCGCCCAAACCACGCCCCCCACACCTCGCTCGAACCTCTCCCTACTGGTCGCCCGGCCCGACCAATCGAATCCCTCGACACTCTCCGTCGAGAGGGTCTCTTTTTATAGGGCAAAGACATCTAGAAGTCCGTCTATCGCACGAAGCGCGTCCTAACCTCACAAAAAATAAAAACCCAACAACAAGCGACGGTTCGCGAGTGCTCCTTTTCCAGTGATCGGTGTTTGTGCATCGGTGAAAATCGTCGAGGATTTCCAATTTCCACGATCGGTGAGTAGATTGCACGACGCTCGTAGGCGGCCATGAGCGGAATTCGACGGAAAAAGGGGGCAGTGTTAACCGAAGTCGGACGAGTCCATTGTGGTGTTAAACCGGTTTCTGGGGTGCGGTCGCTAGCTTTGCGAACGCGCGGCGTTTAGACTGTGACTAATTCGCTGGATTCTCCTAGTAACGAGGCACATTCTAAGCGAATCGGTCGAGTCCAGACGTCGCCGACGTGTTGTTGTATTTTTTTTTCTTTTTCTTTTTCCGTCTAAAATCAAAAACTGGCATATTTTTCGCGACGAATACGCAGAATCGGCCGGCGTGTAGTAGGCGAAATGTGATTAGTTAAATGGACGGTAAGGCGGCCGGTCGTAAGGTCGAAATTCGCTTGCGACGCGTTTATTTGCAGATTACTTTATCGCTTGATGTGTTGATGATACGTGTTGATGAAGCGGTTTTTTTATTTTATTTTATTTTCGACGCGAGAATTTCGTTGATTTATGTTCGAGGAATTGCTTAATTCGTAGTTGTAATAGGTATCCTATACACAAGTGATCGTTATGCCGTGTTTGCTCGTTTCGTTTGGTCGATTGCGACGCTCTGTTTCTTCGGAAACTAATTTTTCGATTCGTCAGGATACTTTGTATAGTATACACTTTTTTTTTTTTTCATTTCTTTCTTGTCGTCGGTTCTATTTTTATGCTGTGTTGCAAGTCGAATCGAATATTACGAAATGCTGGGTTGCGATTGTTGTGCGATCTAAGCAATGCAAATGGTATTGTATTGGTTAGGTCAATGGACAAAAGTCAACGATTTAATTCGTACTGATTTTTGTAAAGGAAATAAGGAAATGTCCTATATCAGGCTAGATCCTTAGGTACTCTATTTAGAGATGAAAAATTTGGAATTTTTAAGTATCTACCTACTCTATAGACCTCCCTCTACCATAGGCAATCAAAAATCTAATGTAGATATTGTAGTATCAGTAGCTAACTTCAATATCTTAAATCACTTTGGCTTTAGAGTGACTCTAAAGTCGCGTCTCTAGTCCCTAGTTACTCCATAACAACAATGTAAATCTGTCACATGTGAAAGAATCTCCTTAGTTACTCCATAACAACAATGTAAATCTGTCAATTGAAAGAACCTCCTTAGTTACTCCATAACAACAATGTAAATCTGTCAAGTTAATTAAAGACGCGATTTTAGAGTCACTCTAATATATAAAAGTTAAAGTGAGGCGGTGAATGTATACAAGATATAAAGAAATGAAGATGATCCAGAATAAAAGCCAAAATTTTGCTTTTCTCTAAGCCTTAGAAATCTTTCTTTTATAACGATTAATCCGGCATACTTCCATCACTAAACGCCCTTCTAAAGTAATTCATTTAATAAATCAACCTGATGAAGATTCACGTATATTATCGATCGCCTCATCTTCCAAACTCTTCAACACAACACCTTTCCTTTTCATATTTTAATTGCCTCCAAAACATTCCGGAAGGGTACTCGAAAGAGCTCTCGATAAAAAACCGAAATCCCAGTCGGGTTGATTCGTTAATTATAATTTCGCATTATGTATAGGAAACCGTAAAACTGGCCGGAGATATATAGAGAAAGGTATAACGAGTAAAGGAATAAGGCATTAGCCGTCGGCAAACCGAATCCCTTCGAATCCGTTTCACAATGTTAGAGCACGAATTTCGGCTCTACTCGTCGACCTAAACAAACCCCTTCGACCAAATAATGGCGCGATTTGAGCCAGCCCCCGTTGCTCAAAATATTTCTTGTTGTTTGCTAAAGAAAACCGACCTCGACACGGCTTAATCTCCCCATTAAAACCGTACAATTATCTAATACAAATGAACTGTATGGAAAAAACTGTAAGTACAATTAAACTCGGCAATGCAAATGATTGCCCCCGCGATATCAGATAAATCGGTTCGAGGCGAATTGAAATTCAAATATCGCTTTCGTCGAAGCTACATCGGAGCTATAAACACCTCCGAGGGCCATTAACCCTGGACTTCCAGCGGCGCGGGACGAGGAAGGAAGGTCAGGGATGCCATTAGGAATTATAATTTCTAATTCCAAGAAGAGATATGCAAATGGGAATAAGCCTCCGGGAAAAGCGAGGGAGCCGAGTCTAAATCGAGAGCGATATAAACTGAAACCGTATTGAACGGATTTCGCTGTCAAAATCTGCGGTTCTAATTAGATGTGTAACAGATTTGAGCAGCCAGTTGTATAGTTGCAAATGAACGGATTGAAAAATAATAATGCTGCACAAATGGATCTCTGCTGATTAAAGCTTTGATATGAAAGGTCTCATCATATGATATAGAACTAACTATACTTGGCGCGTTTGGAAGACGGAGTAATAAAAATGTCAGGCGGTTCCTAAATATCCCTACCCCAGTACGGCAAAATCCTGTACAAAGATCGATTCGATCGATCGAAATTTTGCACATCGCCTACAATTACTCAAAACCATTCACAGAGTATCTACTTTTAGGCCGGCCAATGGGGAGTGAGTAATATCGGCGACTCGTTTACAACCCGGGTGGACTTCGGGTGATTAATGTGTTTATTACTCCGTCTTCCAAACGCGGCAAGTATATAGTAGAGAAATAACACCAAGAATGAAATTAAACAACAACTGAGAGGACTTGAGTATAGGTGAAGTTCTTTTTTTTGGAGTTTTAGCAGTAATTCCGGATGCTTCCCTATAACCTGGTATTTTCTAAGCAAAATTGAGCATTAAACACCGCCGATCAATTTATTGCGTTCGTAAAACCGTACAATTTTTTTATGATAAATATCCAATAATAACGAGTTCTGGTCAGCTACCTTAATCGAAATTTCGGTTTATTGCAGGCATTTTACGGTTATCCGAAACCAATCTACCATCGAGGATACAAAATAGTAATCAATGCTTTTTTGCCTCTATTTTTCATGGTAGAGAAGGTAACGGTAGGCGTGTCGACTGTACATAAACCATCGGGTTTCGGATTTCTTTTAGAATCGCCTTTTTTTACCTGCATTTGGCCTAGAAACTTTTTCCAACAATCCAAACGCGACCCATAAACATCAGCTGTAGAGGTACACCTTTATAACTTCCATTTCTATTTTGAAAACCAACTTTTAGTTACCTATTCTAACCGTCCATATAGGTACAAAATCTAATTAACCAACCAGATAGTTCTTCTAACTTTCCTCTAACTTTCCTCCCAAACTTCATTGATTAAAATCATTTTCCTTTTTGGCTGGAACCAGCCACACATCCGGCTGAAAAGGATTGTCGCCTGAAAATTAATTACCATCGTCCATTGTAAAATGCAAAGTAAAATAAAAGCGCAAAGTACATGCCTACCTGCCTGCTCGGCATGTTTTATAGATTCCAACATTTGAATGCAACAAGTACATCCGCCGATTTAACGCGATTTGTTTTTTTATGCGAGTCGGTAACCGTTTCCTGTGATTTTTTTTTATTGCCCGAATAAGACGTTTGATAAGAGAAGACCTCGCCTAATCCGCATGAAAGTTGTTTGTACAAAAGCCGATTAACTAATTTAATGTATGGGCGTTTGTTCGAAAAGTGTTCTCAAGCGGAAAGGATGTTTGTATGATGGTATGAAAAGGATATGTCAGGTTGGAGCTATCGAATTCGGTGAATTAATGTTGGTTTAAGCCGGGAAAATCGGAGAAAAACGTTAACTAACGTGACATGTATGGGTAGTTATTGTTTGTTTTATAGGTATGACAAATTTATAAGCTCGTAAAACAAACTAAAGCTCCGAGAATGATCCTATGGTCAATAAACTTCGGTTATGTTAATTGAGGAAAACCACTTAAATGGAGAAATTTCTTGTTTACAAGCCTGTATAGTAACGATTTTATCAATCTATATTAATAGCCTCGTGATTATTTACATGTCGGTCTATTTATAAGTTTATTGCTACTATGACAATTACTACTGATTGACGATAATGAACGTATATACGGACCGATAAACGAGTCACGTTGAACTTTCTCCTGATCTATTTTAAGTTATTTTTGTATACTTATTTATCTATTCAAATTAAGTATTAATAGCAGAAATTAAGTACCTAACGCCAGTTTATGAGGTATCTGTTACTTTTTACAGTAGATACTGGAAATGTTTTGCACAATTAACAGGAACAGGGATCTTATAGAAGCAACCATTTCTTGTCAATATTTGATATTCAATTTTATTCATTGGTATTTGGATTATGTAGTGATAGGATTATTCAGTTGTACAATGAAATTCTTTAGAAGGTTAATACTTCAGTTTGAGTCTGGTGAATTTATTATGCAAAAGCTTTATTTAGTAGGAAAGAATCTTCACTTTTTCCTCATGTAGTAATAATCTTACTTCTCTTACAAAATTGTCTCAATTTTCTCAACATTGCTGAATCTCCATACAACACCAACTACAACCAAAATATCCATACTTTACATCATCTATCTAGTCAGGTACAAGTCAATATCTCTTCTCTTCATACAAACCTGACTCTATACTTCCGAATCTCCCATATACCACCAACTACATCAATTTCATTCCATCCATACTTCACACCTTCAGCTCCTCCACGTCCTCGAGCATCTCCACATAACTTCCTTACAAATCGACGAACGTCCATTATAATAAGGTCATTATTATCCAACATTCGAGTCGTAAAGTCGATGGCAATTCACTCGCCGTCACCTTGAACGGTATAACCGTAAAACCAACGACGACGCATCGTCAACAACAACAACAACAACAACAAGACGACCGATTACGCTCCGGGTTTTTTTCCTTCCTTTCTTTCTTTTTCCATGTGCTACTGTTTACACGTCGGTCTGTGCTCAAAGTGGGTCAACACATTGAGCTGGCCTTGAAAGTAAGAAGCGACGGTTGATCGTCGCGGGTCCGAGCCAATTGTACAAGCTTTGTTTGAAGATTATAAGGATGGTCGAAGGAGATTGTTTGTTGAGCGGTCCTTTTGGGGTAGATTAGAAGGCGTCTTACTTGGAGAGAAAGTCAAGGATGGAATGCAAATTCTTGTTTCGTTTTATATCTGCTGTATTCCTCAACTTGGCCTTGGCTCCTTAACCAATTCTTATCTTCATCTGGTATTCGAATTCAAAGCCTTCATAAATCTCCCTTCTTTAATCCATTGTTCCTTCATGTTGCCCAAGATTATACTTTGTCTTAACTTCAACTTTCCATCTTAAAGTAAACGATTCGATCACATCACTGGACAGATGAGAGGAGAGGATTAAACAGAATTCGACGAGTGCAATTATTATCGACCGGTGTTCTCGTCGCTGTTTTATCTCGTTTCTATCCCTTATCCCTTTCTAGCTCTCTCTCTGCGCCTGACGCATGACGGCGATTCTCGAGGACGTTGACCCTCGTGTCACTTACACAAGTTGGTAATGACTTTCGAACCCTTTCGGAGGCGGAATTTTCAACTTTCCCGCATTTAAAATTTACTTCGTCGGGCACAGCGAAGGCGGCCTTGAAAGTTTCCCGGCCGACTTTTCGTTTTGGTTTGTGTGTTTCGCGTCCGCGAAAAATTTAGTGGAGGGTTTTTTTTTTGTTGTAGATGCATCTTATAAAGCTACTATTTTATGTCTGTAATTCTCATTATGAATGCTGTATAGAGTAGGTTATTTGGAGGTTTTGTTAATGTGGCAACGTTGCTACATGTGCTTCGAAACAGCATATCCCCTTTAAAATCGCGTATTATCAAATTATTACATTAGAAATGCAAAATAGCAATCGATTCGATTTAACATAATTAAATATAGATACATTTGACGACAGTATAGTTTCGGTTTAGATATAAAATATTTGTTTTTGGATTTTTTTCAGGAAATTGATACAAACGAATTGTTAAAAATTACTTTATCATTGTATTATGTAAGTCGATTATTATTATGCAAATGTCCTTATTACATACATTGTTATTTCTATTTATTTTTGCTTTGTCGAGACGTTTAGCGTTTAGAAACTTGTACAAACCTTTCCTCGAATCTTCCAGAAATTACAACCCAACAATAGTTAATCCAAATTCAAAATGCAAATCTCGATATTATTCACAGAGCGAACGAACATGGAACACAACAAATCCCGCCTAACCTCACTTTCCTAATCGCTCCGCTCAAACAAACACTTAATACGAACTTTCGCACTTTCACTCGCTCTAAATCGCAAATATTTTCGTTTCGGTTGAGCTTCTTCCCGTCGAGGCGACGAATTTATTATTAGAATTAAACGTAGAATGTAAAACATAACAAAACATTCCGAGCTCCGCGAACGAGAATCGCAGAATCGAGATGGCTGCGTTGGCGTTCTCGACTTCGAATCAAGTCGCCTATGGCTTTAGCCACGTTGCCGGACCATCACAAAAATACCAAATCTGGAGAAATGGAATATTTCCAGCAACTTGTACATAAAAAATTTATTGATACCTACTTACGAAGTTTTGATTAACATGTAGGTATAGATAGGTAGGATAAATGGAATATCCCAAACATATTTGAGCATTTTTTTTAGCGAAAAATGTCATGCCAAATGACCCGTCTGGATCTTTATATTTTTTACGAGAATTTTCGACGACACATCTACAATTTTTTACGGTTCATTAATAAAATAGCGGTGAGTCGCTGTTCCCTCGGTTATATCACGTTTTATATATTTCACGGGGTGATAAGTACGAGGAGAAAAATACATCAAAAGGGAAGATGAACGCGAAACGGGATGTATACCTTTCCATCTAAAAAATGGAAAATAAACATTAAAACGCAATGGGATTCGAAGCGAAAAACACATCTTAATGTAGATTACGAGACGATAAGGGCTCGAAGAAAGGTGCTTATCTTTTTCTTTTAATATACGAAAGAGAAACCAAGTGCTAGTTATTGCCGTTTATTACAAAGCTAAGAGCTTATGTTATTTAATTCTCTTCTACCACTTTTGCTGATATTCGTTTTTAGTTCCCCAATGGCTATTATTTAGTTGATGCACTGTACGATTTCGCTTTGTTTTTTTTCTTTCTCGTTCTTCTAATTATACTTTTCGCATTTATTATGGAAAAGACGTTTGCATCTACATGGAAAAAGCATTCGTAAAACGTAAGATCTTCGCCTGTAGGCTCTCAATTATGTAAAAGCTTTAGGCTTAAATATGAGGTTTGCGGCATATATTTAAATAAAGGGAGAGAAAGAGCGTAATTGGAGTGTTTGTTCCTGTTCGCCCATTGTAAAGGGGATTGCTTTCCGAATGCGAAGGTCAGTGGCTTACCGGTCGCTTTTAATAGATAAAACTCGCCTTAAATATTCACCGTTTCGTTTTCACCGGTATTATTTTCTTAATTCTTCATTCAAAACATCTATTCGTTTTTGAATTGAGCGGTCGATTTATAACGTTTTTAATTAATTAAATCGATTCTGGTTCCCCGTCTCTGATTCTCAATGTACACAGAAAACCCCGGAAAATTCTAATTGGGCGAATTTCGGGGCATTTAGAATTTCAACGCGTTTTCACAGAAGTGGGATCAAGTATGCGAGGCGTGTTTACAAAAGTTTTGTTTGTTTTCGGACTGTTTGGTTCGGCTTAATTGGTCGAATTAAGCTTATTAAGGAAATTAATACTTTATACTTCTTCCAATTTCAATAAGAAATTTTTTGTATACCAGTAGATACTGTAGTGATGTATGTGTGTATAGGAAAAAAGTTTCATTAAATGCTCGTTCTCTGAAGAAAATTCCCTCGACCACGTTAATATACAAATTTTGCGTTCGAAACTTCCCATCTCGTTGCATGATGTTTGGTATAATAAACTTTTCCCGTTTTCTAATAAAAGAATTCCTCTCGAAACTCGCATGGAAGAGAGTAGAGTAGAGAGTGGTCGGGCCCTTAATATTGTTAAGAAACCCCGAGTTAAACGCTTTCTGCTTTTAATGGCTTGTTATTACATTTTTTTCCGGTTGATTGATGCTGTTACAAAAGTTTATTACTGCTGCTCGGATTTTATTTTCCCTTGTAATTGGTGCTTAACTAGATACTAGTACTGTAACTGATTGTGAGATTTACGTATTTTGATTTTTTTTATATATTATTAGTGAAAAGTTTTTGGTGTATATACGTTAGAAGCTCCCCTAATGCCTTTTTCTGGATCTTTGTCTTGTTTTATACGCATCAATGCGCTTGGCTTGTCAGAAATGACATTTTTCCTTTGGAGCGAGGGATTTTACCTCGCCCTTATATAGAAATTTTTAATGCGTTTTTCACCGTAAAACTATCAGTACTGGTGGTATATCGCAAATTTTTTTACACACCCCTACAAAATCGTATCTATAAATTTGAAATTCGAACAAAAAAAACTTCATAAAATAGTTCAGAAATATTTAATGACTCCGCGCATATAACTACATAATTTTTTATTTCATTCGGTGCTGTGCAGTTAAATTAACTTCAATTTCGAATTAATTGGCTATTGATTTTCAACCGAGCAAATGAAGATTCGAGGATTTTTTTCCCACACGTATTCGACTAGTTTATTCGAATTTGTATTCATGGGATATATTCTATACCGCCCGGACTAACGTGATGTATGTTTTCGACGGGAAAGGTCCATGAAATATTAAAGGTGAAAATGTGCTCGCTTATCCATAATACAGAACGTTTCGGGGGATGCATGGAAATAGTGGTTGGAAAAGCGAAATGTGCAGAGAAAAGTCCGGAAAAGCTTTTTTCGGTAATTCCGTTCGGCGTACATTCGGAGGGTTTATGAAGTTTTACTTCGTTTTTCATATAGACTGTAATCTAATATGAAAATTTATTCCTTCTAAAATGCAAATTACATAGTAATTCATAAAAAAATAGTTACTATATGGCGCATTTTTATGCATTTTTTAGCAATTTTAAAGCCTTCATTCTTTGAACAAATAACATGCATTTCCCAAAAATATTTACTCTATATTCAATTCGTTGAAAACTTATCGTTTCGCCGAAAATTACCAGTTAACTTGTCACCTATAGCTGAAAAATGCATTGCCAATAAACACAGCGAATGGAAACAACAACGAATTTATCGTTTACAAAAAAAAAAGCAATAAAGGTCGAACTTGGTCTTTTGCAAGCGTCGTTAAGAAGACAAACAGCCGAATTGACAGGTCATGTCCTGGACAAAACACGTTCTGTAATATGGCGAACGACCGAAAACGACCCCGGTCGTTTGTTCGAATTTTCAAGCGGAATCCCCAAATAAATCGACAAGCGCTTTCCAAAAAGGGACAAAATAAACCTAAAACTGCACGCTCTAAAAGGAATATTAAACTCTTGTCGAAAAGAAATTCTCCCAAACTAGCACCATAATGGTATTAACTTATCCGAAAACACCTATGATAAAATAAATTTTATTTATTCAAGTCTGCAAAACTGCATCAGAAATAACCAAATGTTTTCGATGCGAGTTTATAAAAGTTGCACCTTGCATATTATTCAGTTGGCTTAAAAGTCTATAACTTATTAAATATTATCTTTCTGATCAAATATGTTAATTACCATCATATTTCATCGACGAATTTTTAAAAATTCCAAACAAATTGCAATATTAATCCCCTATTAATCGGGCTTTTTCTATCGCATATTAAAGCATCCTGAAAGTGGCCGTAAAAAGCGAAAATTACGCCCGTATTTCTGGCTCTTATGGGCCCCAATACTTATTAATATACACGATAAAAGATAACATACACTGCGATGCCGTTTTCTGTCGAAATATTTCCAATTTTTAGACTATACGGGGCAGCTGCTTAACTAATCTTAACGCAGAAATTTTTGATTAATGGGCCAATTTTCGTCCTCGAGTAATAGGATGGTATAAGACAAATATCCTTGTTGTTTTATGAATAAAAAAAGAATTGAATATATCTACAATTCGCTAAGTTAATTATAGGTTCAATTGTGACAAATACAGTCACAATATAAATTATTACATTTTTGTTAACAACCCCCCCGTAATGTAATTGAGTCGTATTACGCTTGTTTAGCACAAACGGAAATTTCGTCGCTAACGAACCGCCGCTCCCGCCGCTCCCGCTACCGCCTCCAACTTAACTTCTCGGATATATCGTATATGTATGTAACTATCGCGCCTTTGATACGACGCGATAACGCGTAAGACGATCGCCAGGAGGGAGAAAACCGACACCTGACGTACACCCGCCTATCCCACTTCTGATTCCTCATCACCCACCCGCGTATCCCACTTCTGATTTCGCATCACCCGCGTATCCCACTTCTGATTTCGGATCACCCCCCGACCGGCGGCTCCGCGAGCTCGATGATCTTGGATTTGGAGCCGCCCGAATCGGCAGGAAACCGTTGTTTGCTCGGATTTTATTGATAAAGAGCTGGATGTTTCAATCTCGGTTGTGCGACGAAACGGAATCGTCGCGTTCGCGAAATTTTACACAACGAAAACGGTTTGTTTGGATTGGAAAGATTCGGTTTCGCGAGCCGTCTAGCGGTGGAGTAGACACAATAATCGTAAAAATTTAAATTCCGTATGTGTTGGGGCCTATAAAAAAAAAGGCGAAATATGCCCGAGGAGAGCGGGATATATAAAAGACACGTTTTAGCACTCGGTCCGTTGCTCGAGAAGAATCGACCCTAACGAAGCGAGATGGCGTTGTTAGAGAAAATACCGGGATTGAAATCGAAATCGAAATCGAATATTTTTTATATATAATTGTCACATTTTATACCTTTTTGTCAGGACGAAAACTCTCACTCATATTTCATTTATATAATGTAACAATACTTATACAGATATTTTAGTCGTTGCTATACAAAAACTTTCCGCATAACTTCCACTTTCACCCGACTGGCCCAAATATATATTCTCGCTGTAAGTGCAGAGCCTGTACAACGTCAAAATCTTTTCCTGCTGTGGATATACACAGGAGTTTTCCTTTCTTAAGTGCCGAACTTTCGCCATGCAAACTTCCTAATTTGCCCCATGACAGTTTCCCGGGAAAATTAAAGCCCCGGACCCCGATCTCCGATTCCGATTCTCCCAAGGATAAACTGTTGAATGCCCGAACTTAAATAATTCCATAACTTCCACCAAAAAGTTCATTTGCAATAAATAGTCGAAATACCTTAAAGCAAAACGAGAGTTTGTTTTGCTCAAAGGAAGTTTCGAGACAAGTTTCGATTCGTAACAAGTTCTGAACACTATCCTGTTGGGACAATTTTACTTTATCGATATGTACTTAATAAAATAGGTATAATACAACTTTATTAATCATTTTTATTATTAATTTTCCACATGTTGGTTCAAAAAT